CCCATGGAGGAGCACAGCTGTGGACTGAAGCCAGTGCAGCCCCAACACTTCCTTACTACACACTGTCAGGAGACAGCTCTGATCATGTCCTGCGCAGGACAACAGAGCAGTGTCAGCACCAGATAAGAATTCAAGCATCTCGGAGTTCAAATCTTGCAGCTCTGAGGGAGACTCTGCCATGTAAGACCAGGAGGACAGGGAGGATATGCAATTGATTTTGACAACTTCATTTGAATTATTTTGCAGCTGTAAAATAGTCATTCATGTGGTACCACCCTGAAAAATGAATCCTAAATAATTGAACTGCAAATTAGTCAGAGCACGTCTCAACAAATCACGCTATAATTGCAGCTATTAACCACACATTTTTTACTACAGTACAAGTTAGGGTATAAAAGTACGAGTATTCATTTGAATGTTAGAAACACATTTGCTGTCAGAAGCTCTGCAAGGGCACGCAAGTTCAGCCAACCCCAGATATAAGTGATACACACACATTTGCCACCACTGGACCAACCTTAAGGGTTGCTGAGGACATACATACAGCTTGTATTGCTGTCCTGGAATTCAGCTCCATGTGTTTGGTTTCTTCAGTAATTGTACTTATTCATCTTTGTACTAGAAAGCTACTTGTTACTATAATGATGTGAGCAATTGCTAGCACTCTCAAATCATAACTTCACAACAGGGAACAAGTTTCTGTCTCATCTCAGGATCTTTTGGCTGACTTCACTGGAATTATCCTCTCAAAATGCTCTAACAGTTATTTTCATCACAGAACTATAAAACTTACATTCGCATTTAGACCCCTTGCACGTATTTAGATGAAGCAATGCATTTTTAGCCTTTTATTGCTTACACTAGCCAAACATCAGGCAAGCTTGAAACCTAAAACCTTAGGTTTGTCACAGGTGGGCCACAAATATTGTCTTAATTTGGTTAAATAGTTAGATGACTTGAGCATCTAAATGCTAAGCTCAAATGCTAAGCATTAGTAGGGCAGGCAGATTGGGCAAATGAAAGAGTTATGATGATTTTAATTGACTGGCATAACTGCTAACGAGATAAGATGAATCTGTAGCAAAACCAGATGCAAAAGTTGTGTGAAAAGGGTCACTTCCTCTGAAAATCGAAGTCACCATCTTCAGAAAGTCGATCATCCCCTGTCTTCAGAGGAAGGGCATAGGCAAGATTACATAAGAAATGTCATTCACATTTGCACTGAAAAAATTTTAAAAGAAAAAAGCCATTGCAAATATAAGTGAAATTTTATCAAGAAACACATCGGTGTATTGTTAAATATGCAGTATGTATGTGGATTGAGTGTAAACTGCTGTCTTTGTTTTCTGAACTTTTAATAGATCTTTAGGAAGATGGGAAGGACCCAAAATCATAAGGCCAAATTGGACACTTAGGAAGTGGGGTTTGGGGGGGAGGGAGTTGTTTTGTTTTGTGCGTTGGGTTGGAGGTGGGGGGTGTTGTTTCAGTTTTGGGTTGTTTGCTTTTCTTAACTAGAAGTAGTAGTATTCTAGCTCTTGGACATTCTCTTTATAATGTGAACAAGCAGAGGAAAGGGTCATAAATCAAGATACCCTATATCTGAAAGCTTCCTCAGCCGCTGGTGGTATTTCCTTCAATATGATGGACACAGAAAATAACCCAGTGAACACACACACATTTAGCATATAATGTACTGTTAATAAAAAATAGCAATGACAGATAATTCACCATAATAGGAAGTGACTAGGTTACAAAGTACAAAGATTTTGGTGATTTGCTTAAAACAATGATCAGATCTCTACCATTTTCCCCTCCTACATTTTTAGAAAGACGACTCATATTTTTAAAACTTGTGTGTGTTAGGAAAAAAAAATCATCTGGAATCTCATACTTTACACATAGGGGATAAAAAACTCACTGCACCTTTAACAGGTGCATTTTGTAAAGGAAAATTTATTACAAACACTTACTTGAATGAGATCTACTGAAATCAGAATACCTTTAATACTCCTCGCTGTTTTTAAACTAAGTTACAAGATGAAATAAATATAAAATATTAAAAAAAAAAACCAAACCAACAACATTTTGCATACTGGAGGTCTACAAGATAACTTCCAGTACTGAAAGTGTTTTGAATTTTTTTAGTCACAGTATGCTTTTTATGAACAGTTTACTTCAAGAAAAGGATCCATCTAGACAACTTTTAAATATAAAGTTATGACATTCATCTAAAAGTATTTATAATGTAATAAACAACCATTATTACAAAAGCTTGTAAGGAACTTTGTTAAAGTAGAGTTGAACAATCCCAAGTTAAGCTCATATGTTTACACTTAAGTAACAAGATCCCTTATTCACCTGGTTTTTGGCTTCATGCTTGCATCATTTGGGTTGTGCTAGCAATAGCACTTCTTTGAACACTAAGAGAGAAAGAAGTTAAATGGAATAGTTAAAAAGTTTGCTATCAAGCGTTCATCAAATATGTATTTTTTCAGTGAAGAACACCAAGACATCTTCTAAGCAAAATGACAGCAATTAAAGTTGGGGGTGGGGGGGAAGGTGGAATCAAATCTCTTTAAAAGCACCCGAATGAATAAGAAACCCTTACACTTACTGACACAGCAGCCATAAGAAAATTTACAGGAAGAGGCCAAGCAGCTTTTTTATACTGCTCAGTTGCAGGTCTGGGACCTTTACTAGTTGTTGCACAAGACCAAAGTCTGCCTTGTTGGCTATCTGTATTTTTCACAGCAGTCTCTTCAGTTTCCAAGCCAGTGCACATTTTTCCAACGTCAGTGTATTTTAAAAGAAACAGTCCATTGTGAAATGGAGGCATAGAATCTTAGAAATAACATGGAACCTTAAATATAGGTCTAGAAAAGCTTTCAAGACTGTACTTCAACCACAATACATCCATCCGAGATGCATCTCTGAAAGCTGTTCAAGACTGTTTAAGGCAATGTTTGCATTCACTAAAAGTGATTATGATATGGCCTCCAAATTTATCAGACACTGAAAGAGGACCCTTGTCTGAGGTGGAGAGGTTGGCAGCTGTCAGAGTGTAATTCTGGATCTGGCGAACACTTGCCCTGCAATTCAGGTCAATGTGAACAGAACACAAAGGTTTGAAAGCAAGTAGATGCTTGCCAATGTATTAACAACAGATCATACATGTGGGCTGCAGTACCTTCAGCCGTTTTATGTCAGTTTAGCTATGGAGAAATAAAGTTAAAAGATGCTGACTTCTAGCTAACTCCTTACTTGCAGCCATACATGCTGCACAGTGGCTTATGAGCACAAGGGTGAAATTTTCAGACTTTTGTTGTCTAGCTATATTACATTTAAACTATTTTTAAAATACCCACAGAACTATACCCTTTATTTAAACACCTAGATGAAGTTACTGGTATTGGAATGATGGCCAAATCTAGCTCCAGTATGTAGTATTATAAAATAAAATAGTGTGTCAGGAAACTCTTGATCTGAGCTAAAGGAATCTTTCTAGTGTTTAACCAAGACTTCAATTCTACTTCCTTGTGATCCGAAGATATGCAAGGTATGGCTGTTACTGACCTGCCAGAACTTGCCTATTCTCATTTTCTTCGTCCTCCATTAGAAGATGGTACCATGGTGGTTCGTTTCAAGAAAAGCAGAAAAGGAAGTCCTGTCTTATGACTGAAGGCTATTACTAGGTATGCAGATTACAAGAAGACTGACCCATCCACCAATCCAGTTCATGCTGAATTTGACTATTTGGCAGCTGAGAATAAAGCAGTTGATGAAGCAGAAAAGTTAATACACAATAATTACCTTCCCTAAGCTTTCAGATAGCTCAATGAACAGATGAGGCTGGTCTGTATGAAGTGTAAAAACTGAGGCACTAAATTCTGCAATGTGCCTTTAAGCTAATGATGCATGCTTTTGCCTGTTAGGTTTTCCCTGGTTTCCAGTGACACTCTCTTGAAAATAACAGTGATAGACTCATTCTCCAGTTAAAGCCTCCATCCAATCAATTGCATTTCCGCTTGAAATCCTTAAGACCACTGGGCCAGAACGTTAAAAATATGTTAACACAAACCAACATCTTGCTTCTTGTGTCGTGCAGTTCTTGAACGTCTTTGGTATTGACGTATGCAAGGCTGGGCAAAAACACAAAACTGAAACTTGTTCCTCTCAAGGTGGGCCCTTGACCCTATATGTGCCAATTTTAGTCAGAAAACAAAACCTTACATGAGGACTCAACTAAATAGAGTCAAGGAGAACATTAGCTACATGCGCCTTTTACACACAAGTGAGGTTATAGAAATTGACCTTTATTTAGTAATCAGTTTCTTTAACTCTTCTTTTTTTTTTTTGATACAAAGTGACATTTTCATTTTAGTACAGAAAATCCATGTCAGAACAGTACCTGTCTGTTTCAGTTGTACCACTGGCGTCTACAGTCTGACCTCAAACTTTAAAAAACAAACAAACAAAAAATGAGATAAACAAAAAATAACTGCTGTCCCTCACCATGAGAAGTACTTTGACTAGTAATTCATCCATACCATTTCCTGTTTTTTAGTTTATATACAGTATTATAGTAGTATGCTATAATACTATATATATTTTTATATGTATTATAGCTCAAAATACTCTCTCTATATAGTATATAACTATATAAATACTATGTAAAGTATTTTGAACTATAAAATAGCATCTGTAACACAGAATTTAAATTTAGGACCAGATCTTTCTTTGAAGAACTGTGCAAGAAGAATCCCTTTTTTTAATTAAAAAAGCTGCAAACAGAAGCAAAATGACAGCCTGTAGTATAAAACTAGAAAGCCTACATAATGAAATGTTAGGAACAGTGACCAAGAAGCAGTTCTACTCAAATGATATTTTAAAAACAATTAGAATACAGTACCCAAAAAACATGGCACAAGAGACAGAAGCGACAGGTACAAAACCTGTGTTAGGAACACAGAGTCAGAAGTGCAAAAAACAAAAAGGGAACCGATACAATGGCATTTGGTACAATAGGTGAAGAAGTATTGCAACCAAAACTAAATGATCACTTATTGTTTGACAGTGATAACACTAACAATTTAGTACCTTTCTAAAGGCTTTTAATCAAAGCCCTAAAACTGTGGCTGCTCTTAAATAAAAAACAATCTATGTGAATGCTACACACTGAAGTACAAAGCTTAAGAATTACCCTGCAAAATTGCACCGACATAAGCTTTCCATATTTACAGTATCTAAAAGTGACAGAACACAGCATGCTAGGCCTAGCTTATGACTCTTCCCCACCAGTACTTAATCCAGGCCCAACAACCAAAAATTATTATTTCTCAACACATGTTAAGTTTGGATTGTTCAGATATATTATGACGTTTAAATATTATATTCATGCATAAAACAAGAAACGATATCTTTGACAGACAAGCATTGACAGGATACAAACAGTGGTCTGCCCTGTAGAGGAGTGTACTTCCTTCTGAGCTTACTTCCAAGACGTACCGATTCAATCCCACGTTGTTACCTAGTTGTCAAGTCAACAATGTGCTTAGAAATGGTCAAAATTGCAACTCAGAATCACATTGTGCACAAACCATTCACTCATATTCAGAAATTTCACTCCGTTTCGGAGAGTTACCTCATTAAGTGAAAGGACACAGTTAAAAAAAACAAAAACAAAACAAAGACATTCAAGTAAACAGCAACATCCAAATACTTTGAAAAGGTTTTTGTAAACTTGTCATTCTACAGGGTTTTGCAGCATTGTTAAATTCATTACTCATGGACAAGTACACACAGGTCGCAACCCCTCATGACAACCTGTCACACATACACGTACGAAGTAAGAGACAAGCTCGGTGAAGTGATCTACCCCTTCCCACGTGCCTCATCGGGTCCTTGTGTGTTCAGTGTTATCATTCCCCTTCATGAAACAGAAATCACTTATGGATATCTTTATAAAGACAGAAATGGACAGAGTCCGTTGGATAGAAAGTTAGTTGGTTATTTACATCTGCAAAGTAGTTTCACAGCGAAATAAATCTACAGCGGGCCAGCTGGGATCCACAGGACTTTGTTTTGTTCTTGATCAACAGTTGTCATAATCTGAGTGCAAATGCTTGAAAGGGCTCCTCCCTGGACAATGCCTGGAGAAAAAGAAACACACCCCCACCACAAATGAGACTGGAACAAACAGTTACGACTAATGACAAAGAGCAGTCTTCTGCATTTTTCTGCAAAGTTTTTATCAACAGATCAGAATTAATCTACCCAATTCAATATTTGCCAGCTGCATAACTCTATTAAAAGAAGAGGAAGAATAAACAGAGCAAAGGGGTCAAGCATTGAATGTACAGTTTCTTCTGCTAGCCCTTAAAACAGCCCAGGGAAGTCACAGAACTGATGGGTATAATCAACTAAGACAACTGTTTTGTTAGAGGCCTCCATGTGCTATTTTCAGAGGCATCAGGTGGCAAAGTTTAAGTCTAAAGATGGTCAGAACCTGCTATAATAAACCTTCTCTGTTCAGCATGTGGTGTTAAGAGTTTTATAGCTGTAGCAACTAGGCACTATTTACAAATATTAGAAGTAGATTATGAGGCAGCTCACAGATCCTGGAGCTAAATAAACCAGCAGCGATTGCTACTCCAATTCTTATTGTCAACTACGTTCAAGGAATAAAAAGGCCAACAGCAAGCAACTCCCTGAAAATCAATTCAAAAGATAAATGAACACCATGCATTCTACCCTTGCTAAACATAACAGTCATAAAAAGTAAAATGCCAACACTGACACAGGAGAGGAGAATGTATTAGCTTTAAGACTGAAAAAGTTAGGAACTTCATGACTTGAGAAATACGTCAGCAAAGCCTCTGGCCTCAGTTACTGCAAACGCTGGAAAAATAGGGGAAGTCTTAAAAGGCTTGAGGTATAATTTCCATTTTTGAAAAGAGAGAATTTGATCTCACGTAAAGTATTACTTGACTCTGCAGTATATACTACAGTTAACGATGTCAGGTGAGTTTGGATACAGAACACAGTAACCAACAAGGTCTATGACAGGTGAAAAATGGCAGTGAGGGAGTGATTCAGATTATACACCGTGCTCACAACTTGGTACACGAAATAAAGCCAACTTGAAAGAGTCATTATTCAAAAAATGTACTTCATGAAGTAGTCACAGAGTTCAGGTCTGAGAGAGTGTGTCATATAGCTTCACGAGGAAGCTGCCATGTCTAACATGCCTATTTAAAGCCTTATTTTATACACAACATTATAATTTCAACAAGCCTAAATGTCAATGCAGTTTGAACACCAATCCTCTCTGACTACCAGCATCTGGAAATGTTGATGACAGCTGGAGTCCGCTCTACTTGGCACTAACAGTGGGAGGCCCTTCCCACAGGGCATGTGAGAAGATACAAATAGGACTCTCTTGCACTGAGTACTACTTTCACTACCAGGGTGGAATTAAAATGCAACAGATGACTTATCAAGGAGCAGAAGATAACATGTGGTGATGCAATCTGGCCATGCACATGTCCAGTTCTGTGAAGGCTTAGTATGTACCATTTAAATGAACATTTGTATGGCTATTACATACCAAGTAACTGAACTTGAGAATGTGCAGCTTCTCTCAGGATGCACTCAGATAGCTCTATACTAAATACATCCCCCTTCCCTCCCCTGCACTTGGCAGGTATGCCTCAAAATACTTCTGTAAGAAACCCATTGTTCGGGGGATGAAAAGTTGGGTTTTGGCTGGTTTAGTGGTGTTGGTTTGGTTTTGGTTTGTTTTTTTTCAAGTTTTGTTGCCATTCACATCAAGATAGCTAGAATTTTACCCCCACTCTTTTAAACGTATGTAGAACCACATGGAAATATACTCTGAAAAAAACAGAGACAGTCTTCAAACACAGTTTTCTTTCTCTGGTAAAGATACAGTTTTAACTACAATCCAAGACTTATATAATATACTTTATGATGTTAAAAAGGCCTCTGAAGTTGAATTGAATTATTCCAAATTACAATGTATGCTCAATAAACCTTTGACAATTTTTGTCCTTTCTTGAAAGATTTAAAGTATGTCTCACAAATCATTCATTAATTTACACTACAGGGTTTTTTTTTTGTTGTTGTTGTTTTGTTTGATTTTTACAATTACAAAAAAACTTATATTCCTTACATGGTATAAAACTGACAACACTGTGTCCAGTTATCTTGGCCATACTTCCAATACTACTGGCTTGCAATAAAACATTTTCAGAATCTCTTTAGGTCATAAGATTCATAACACACTAAACCAAAAACATGCAAAAGCAAGGGATAGTACTTATATCTTGAGATTTCCTCTCCTGGTAAAACACCACAGCATGAGTTTGCCAAAAGGGAAGGCAGAATGGAAAAAACAAAAAAAAACCAAAAACCCCCCTAAAAAACCTCTTTGAAGGAACATAGGAACTTTTGAATTATAGTGTAAATGGATTAAATTGCTACTGTGTTCCTAGTGAAATGTTGATTAAATACTAACCTGTAAAGTACTTGCTATATTCTTGTTCTATTTTTTGAGCTGTCTCAAACTGTTCTTTGGAATGTTTTTGTGTAACTTTGTCCCTCAGGAAGATTGGGTCTTTTTGCTCTCTGCAAAAAAAGAAAGAAAAAAAGAAAAACCTTGTATAAGAGTAATTTTTTTTTTTTTTTTTTAAGGGACTTGAAATTATTACCTCCAGTTGGGTGAATGTGAAAGGCTAATTAATTTGCAAGCATAATCCTGTGCATAGACTGCCATCTACTGTGTTTCAGCAGTATCAGCATAGTCATCAGGATCATTTCAGTGAACAAATTTGTCTGCTATCAGACCAAGACAGTATTCCTTTAAAGTCTCAGAGATTGGGAGGGGGCTGAAGGAGGAAGAATATAATTTTTTCCAGTTCATGTGAATCGGACCATCATCTCATATACACTCCAGTACTCCCTACACAAAGCTGGGTTCAAGTACCACTCTCTTAAGGGCTTGAAGTATCAAGCATTGAGCAAATAAAACATTTTAAGTTTCTATGTCATATGACACATTTTTGAAATGACTTTTTCTGTTATACAAGCTGTTGGAAATAAGAAAAACATAGAGAAATACAAATGGTAAAAAAATATATTTTAATTCCAATCAAGGCTTGTAACACTCTCCTCCCAATCCAACTTGGGGTCCCCAGTAGGGGATTCTGTTTAAAAGAAAGCAGAATTTATAATCAGCTAGTAAGGTTATATAGATAGGTACTGAAACAATATAAGCGTAGCTTCTTATAGCAGTGAGAAAAGAAGCACAATTTTATTTTATAAATAAAAAAAAATCACTCCTAAACTAACCTATCACTGCTATGTAGCATTTCAGAGGATGCCAATAGAACCTGTGCTATATCACAAAGGCTGTTTGGAAAAACCTTTGGTGCTCATAGCAGGCAGAGACAATGTGCCACTGCATCTTATTTGGATGATTGCTAGAAATCCTTGCTTGTCTAACTTCAATTGCTCTCTGTCGCTTTCCAAAAAAAAAAGGAAATAGCTGTAACGGTCACCATTCCATTTCCAAAGGGGCTCAAGACATGACAGTTCCATTTTCATTCAAGTGCACGATCCTACAGTGGTAATTAAATACCCACATTGCTTTATGTCTTCCTTCTACTTGAAAGTGGAGATACTTATCTTCTTTATTAAATAGATAGTCAGCACATTTACCTACAGATCAAGAATATAAGAAGCCCTCGACTTTCAAAATGAAGACAGCACAAGTATAAGATCTCTCAAAAAAACTGTTTCTTAATACTTATGTTAGGAGATTATGTCACTTCTTGTCAAATCAACTTATTAAAATGTGCGAAGGCTTACTCAAACATAAGGGGAGGGACTGGGCTTTGTAACTCCCATGTTCTGTTCCTGGCTGTATTTGAGCAGGAAATTCCCAACTGGTGAAATAGCACAGCCTGAGAAGACCACAGTATATACACTCCATGGCAAAAGGGGACTTCCCTTGCTGTTTTCACTGGTGAATGAAGGTGGGAAAGTTGAGGTTACAAATCAGTTGGCCCTGCATCCACACACTTGGCCCAGACAAGATGATGAAGAATAGCTGTTTGTCACAGTCACCACTTAATCCTCAATGGATCTCACCCATATCTGTCTTATGGTTTAATACAAAAGTGAGCAGGAAAGATCCGAGTGCCTCCTGGAGTACATACAGTTTAGTCAATATTGTTTGATTTCTTTGAAAGATTCATTTAATTGCCATGCAACAAAATGAAGTTAGGACCGTTTACCTCACACCGGTTTAATTTCCACATTTTAAAGAGATTTAAGATGACTAAGATGAAAGAAACAATAAAGGTAACAAGCTTATTTTAAGCTAAAATAAACATCCCTGAACTATACCCCTCACAGACTTACTTGATTTGTTTAGCATTTTTGTAGCGAATAAAAATTACAATAGGGTAGATATGAACACTGTGGAGCCGTTCGATGGCATGAGGAGCGATGTCAAGCAGACAATGACAATCCTAAGATCAAATGTAAATGCAAAACACTCATTCAGTTAAAGAGCACAAGCACACATGCAAATCCCCCATTTTTTCCCCTACTTAAATCATAGCAACCCAACAGAATTTCGCTACACATTTAGCATTTTGGGGCTACTGAGCAATTTGTACCCAAAGGATTTATAACAAAAGACAGAAGATGAAAAACTGCAAGAAATTCCATTCATAGTACCAAAAACATGCATTGATAGAAATAAAAATATTTGAAGAACTAATGAAATGAAAACTCAGATTGAAATATATACAATACATTTTTTCCAAATTTAAATATTCATTTTCTCTTTCAGAAGTCATAAGTAAATACAAGCATTAAAGTAGTAAGACTTTCTGCATTGTTTGACAGAAAACTATAAGCATGTACAGATTTTAATTAACATCTGTCTCCAGGACTATTATGATATTTATGTTCTATATAACTGCATTAAATGGAATAGTTAAAAAACCTAAATCCTCGTCTGAGGGGGTAGGGGTTGAAATCTATGGAATCTAAGAAAATAATTTCTAACTTTAATAATACTGTGAAAGAATATGGACATTCGTAGTTTCTACAAAGGTGAGCTTGCATGAAATAACCTTTAAACAGTTACATGCCAAAGCAAGGTAACTTTTATTTTACTCAGCAGCCTGGGGAACAATTCTCTGAATACCTTAAAGGAGAACAACACTAACATAATTTGCATCCCCCTAACATAGTATGACCATAAACTGCAAATTGTACAAAGAACTACAGCATTAAAAGTGACTCACCTTTTCTGTTATCTCTTTTATTGAAGCTACAGTTGTCACATCAAAATGTCCACTCCTCCGTTTATAATCAATAAACAGACAATCCTTCACACCCCGCTCAATGGCTTGTTGGGAAGCTTTCATAACCTCTGTTTCATAGAACCAGAAAAGATCCACTTTCATTACCATTCCTTAGGCACAGAAACAAGGCTAATGAAACAATGTTTGCAAATTCAGATTCTTGGGGTTTTTTCCCATGTTTGTGCTACCATTTAATTCACTTATATAAATGTTACTATTATGTATTCTAAGCAAGAATAAATTGGTTATATTTGCATACTTACCAAGAGGACATCTGCAAAATTTTCCAGGGGATTCTTTGACCAACATGTCTTTCACAGCATCAAGTAAAGGTCCTAGAATAAGGACAGGCCTAGGAGAGGTACAGTCCACTTTCTGTACACGCTGGTATGCCAGACTTGCAGAATCTACACACAGAGAAGATTTACTTATAAAAGTATAAATTATTTTCCTAGCTTTCCTCAGATAAGCAGAAGCACCCTAACAGTAATCATGAAAACAACTCCCTTGCACAGGATAAGGGCCTTGAGAAATACAACAAATACTCACTAGCCATTACTGCGATTTTCTCCACTTTACAGCTTAAAACAGATGTTTTTCTAATTCAACCTGTTGATTCTTCCCCCTAGCCCCACCAAACTTTAAAACCAATTATTCCTATTTTATCCTCTCTGTTTTGGTTTGTTGTGCTCTTCCATGGAAGCAAGCATCGTAACCAACATGATTTTTGTAGAGGAGTGAAAAAATGGAAGTGAAGAGTTTTGAGTGGTGCCCAGGATTTCTGTCTATACTAAGCAACTTGGACAGAAATTAAATAGTTGAAAGGAAGATGAAAACCATGCAACAAAAAGCAATCTCCCTCTGCAAATGAAAATTAAAGCTAAGAGAGATCTAGTAATAAACTACCAAAAAAAAATTAGTTTGAAACATGCTGGCTTGTTATTTAATACAAAAAAAAATTTGTTATTAAAAGTAATGTACATGATGGGACATATGATCACCATTTATATTCAGACCAACCAGAAAGCAACATTATTCTTTGTATCATGCTGCAGCTGTATAAAAATCAAAGAGAAGGAAAGGCAACCCCCTCCCAAGTGTAACTAACAAAGGTACTTGCCATCCAAGAAAGGAATTGAGTCTGTACTGATTGTATCAAGAGCCAGTAAATCCTTTCCATCTTTGGAACCACTTCGCTTGTGTTTATGCTTTCTCCTGAAGAATGACCTCCGTGCTGCTGCTGACAATGTCTTAGATGAGCTGTTTTCATCTTTAGCCTCAGACATGCTGTGTCTCCTGTAGAATTCTTGATCCATCCTATAATGAAACAGACTAAATGGTTGGTATTTAAACTTATCTTTCTAAATTTTTTCTACAAACAGTATCACCACTGCTTCTGAAACACACTGGAAATGCTCACCTCAAGCCTTAGGCCAAATATCTTCATCACAGAAAATTAATCAGAAATAAACGTTAACATAAATAAAATAATAAGCATCTGAAAACCTCACACACTACCATAATTTCCTCAGGATTCTTGTAATGTAAACAGCAGCATGGCACAGAGGGTGACCACTCCGACACGCAGGGCAAAATTCTCCAAGGCAGAAGCAGCAGTATGCACCTACTTGCCAGTAAAGTCAGCCTTGCACAGAAATGAAGATCCTATTCTTTCTATGAAGCTGCATGTTATATTCATCCTTACAAATAACTTACTAGCAATCCAAAATAACAGTTTTATTTTATGCAGTTTTATTTTATATGAGCACAAATATTTTGGCCACATAATACATGTAAAATGTAGTTGGTTTTACTATTCATCTTCCAGTAACAAGCCTAGCAATGATGTGTATGGGTCTGCATGTATATATTGTACTTCCACACATTGCACATAGTACCATTGTCCCATTGTCAGGATGAATTTTGAGTTATGACATGGAGAGAAGACTATTAGAAGAAAAGGAAACCAGAAAACCAGTAATCTTAAAATGAAAAAAAAAAATTTTAATAACCGAGTGATAAGTTATGTGATTTCAGTAACAACGTAAAAATTTAGTTTCTGCATACTCAACTACCAACATTACGAGACTGCGGTGGATACACCGTCTTACAATAAAGTTGCTGTCCACAGATAGCTAAAACCACTGATGCTTCCAAAGAATGATGGTGATAACCTTGGATTCAAGGATATTTTTGCTGTGGATACTCTCACTTTTGTTATTGTATTATCTATTACAACACTGGTCTATGTATCATTTCCATTTCTAGTTTACTATTTAGTAGCATTAGAAACAACTTGATAGAGCAATATATTTAATTCAATATTATTAAAATATGCCATCCCTAAAATGACACGCCTAAGAATTAGTATATCCCAGAAAAAACAGAAGCAAACAAGTCTTTTATACCACATCTCACTCATCAGACTTTTAAAGACTATAAGATAAAATACTGTGAGGTCACTCACATATATTTACTTGGAATCTGTCCTCTTTCCAGCTTCTGAGCATTCTCGTCTAGCTGCCAAGCCATCCAGCAACCAAAGTTTCCCTGTGGTAGAGTGTCATCAACATACAATATGTCATCCTTCTTAAAGCTTAAATCCTGTTCTACCTCTGGCAGACGGTCATAAAGTGCTCTGGAAAGGAAGACATAAACAGGCTCTGCAACTGATCTCCACCAACTCAAGGGAAGAACATGCATACTTATTTTGAAAAAAGTTAACAGATTAGTGGCACACTCTACATTTCAAGAGCACACAAGTTTATAGCAAAACATGCAGACTTACTATGTTACAGATTGTGTACTCACTGTCAGAGACTAGCTGGGATAAATCAGTAAACTTTGAGTTTAAAAAACGTGGCAAAGCTGATACTATCTCTCTCATGATGGTCAGCGCATTATCCTAACAGTCATGCCATCATCACCAGTCGCGCTCAAATACCTGATGTAGAATCCATCTCCAGGAAGTTCTTTTATCTTATTAAACTCTTCTATTCTGTACTGGGTCTTTATTTTGATGTTTTCTCCAGGCTTCAACATTTCAAGATAAGCTTCCTCAGCTGTTTTATTTCGCATATCAATGGAACCGTACTGCAAAACACAAAACACAGAAACCCTTAGGTGTGAAATTGTATCTTAACAGGTAACAGAATCAGGTGAGCTTGAAAAACATGCAAAATGAGTTTGTTTTTCCCACTAGCAGGCTCTATACGCAAGTAAATCTTGCCACTTGACCCTAGTACACTTTGCACCTTAAGACGTCTAGCAGGAGATTGAGTCACGGGGACAGAAAACAAAACACCCAAGTGATCTGAGCAGACATGCACTGTGAGAGAGAGTCTGCACTTCTTTAAATAGTTTTCAAAGTGTAAGCTGAGAATCATAAAATTCACACTGGAAAAAATTTAATATTTTTAGGGAAAGCAAGTGGTCTGAGGGAAGTCAGAAACACAATTAGAAAGCAAAATCTCCATCTGGATACTAGAGGCACAATGGGAGAGTCTCAGTGCTCAGACAGTATCAACACTCAGTTGTACCTGAAAAGCTCACACACACATGTGTTTATCATCTTAACAGTCCTGCCAAGTAGATAAATATTCTTGTTTCAGGTATAGAAAGCAGAGTCAAAAACATATTGCACAGCCTTCTCTAAACTCTCATTAGAATTTCATAGTGATAAGATCAATATTTTTCTCTGTTTTGCAGTATCTTTCATATCCTTGCCTTTCTCCTACGTACAGCAATTGGATTCAAGGCTTCCTATTTACATGAAGAGAGCAGGTGTTTATAAGTCCAAGTAGACGTAGAGTAGTCCTTCAAACTTGTGGGCAACTTGTGTTCTCAACAGTGGTAGTTCTCCAGGTCCACATCATCCAGCTCTTCATGTGTTGCAGCCAGAATGAAGGTTACATGTTCTCACCATTGTTACCCAGGTTTTGTGGCAGGAACTCAACGTTCACAGAGCATCTCCCATTGCGAGACAGCACAGTTCTTTGTACAACTCCCTCTTTATACTGTCCTAGACATTTTGTCAGTTTGCTGCACACTTTTCTTAATAGCTTACCTCAAGTATCATGTCACCCAAGACTAGTCCATCAGATCCTTTTGCTGGGCTATCATCATCTACATCTGAGACAAATATTCCATACAGGTTTCCACCACATATCTGGATCCCAAGATCCACTTGGGATTTTTTAACAACAACAGTTCTAGGTTCAGGGGTCCTTTTGTTTGTGTCCACAGGGCCTCTTTTGACAGGGAGAAAAAACATATGTATTTAAATTTAAAACCCTGCATTACATACAATCAACTAGCCATGTGAAGAAGATATATTTACATAATTATTATTCAAAATAGGTCACCTACAGATACAGTCTTGTAAGACAAACATCATGTTCCTTGCAGACCTTCTTAACTACACCAATCTTGTAGTAAATTTTCTTCACTCCTTGCAGACCCTGTCTTTCAAAACCAGTCTGAAAACATGTACCTTTATCCTGGGATCCACTTAACTTGTCTGCTGACTTATTTCAACCAGACACAGCATTCACAGAAGTACACTTTGTTTTTTAATACCCTTCACATCCACCCTGACCATTTTTTTTTTTCCTTAAGGCAAAAATTTTACTCTCTACCTTAAGGAATTCCGGGGACTTGTAGTTGGCGTGGTTTGTTTAGATGGGGGTGTCATTGTTCCTTCATCCTGTTCACTCACAGTATCAATAATGGAATGATTGTCAGGCGTTGCAGCTCCACTGCCTTGAGGGGTGGAATGATTACTCACAGGTTCTAGGCGAGAACTAAGAGAGAAAAAAAAAAGAAAAAAAAAAAAGAAAAGAACAATGACTGGGGGATTAGTGTTTTACCAATGCCAAATATTTCTCACGAAGACAAAGTTTTTAATTTGGCCATAAATCAAGGATAAAGTAAGGAAAAAACCCCAAAACAGCATGCCAAATAACATATGTTCACCATAAGTCTAAAAGAAAGATAAAGCCCAGTTTTGAAGTGTGATCGTGCATCAAAATGGGATGGATAATTTCACTAATAATTTCACTTCTCTAATTAGTTTTTTGGAAACTCCAACTGTAAAAAAAAAAAAATAAAGTTGATTTGAAGTACTAGAATCTCATAATCCTAGGAAGAAGCCATCTTTGGTTTTAGTTTAATGTATCTAAGGATTTATGCCCAAATAAGAAAGAAAATATAGTAGGTGCATCAAGCACTTTTCTTTTCTTTTTGACAATCATGTATTCACACATTACTTTTCTAAGCAATCACACTTCTTACCAGCACAAATGTGCTGATGTTTGCAAACACATTACCTGTAGAGAAGTTATCTATTAGCTAAATAACTGCATGGACCAGAGAGTAGTTTTTTCAAAGTCTAGACAGCCTTACCTTGATCGTGAATGATTGCCAAGCTGATACATATGTGGGTTATACTGAGCCAGAATAGTAATGGTGTCACACTGTTGTCCAATGATTAGTCGAGCCTGTTGCTCTGTAGCATTTCTCAAATTTATTCCATTAAACTATGGGAAAGATGCACAAACAAGGACGTCAAGTTTTCAGATTGAAACTAGCAAAATCATTCTTTCAGTCTCCTAATTAGTTTAATGTTTACATGCTAACTTATTTCCACTGGGGTAAGAGGATGGAAACGCTGCTATATAATGATTCCTAGGGTTTACTCCTTGGAAAGAATCACTGTAATTTTAAAACATTTGGTAACATGACCATTAGTTCAAAAATTTTTTTACTATTGAAAGACATACGTATTCTGAGCTGTGTTATGATTTGATATCTCTGATTAAATACAAGTTGGTTCAGATCACCAATCTGAATAAATTCAGGATTTAAAGGTAAATTCAGATCCATGATCCATTCAGGTCCATTGTATTGTCATCCATACATTGTGCAACAGAAGATGCTTTAACATACACAAGCATGAACAGATCTAACATTTACAAAGCAGTTTTGTACTTCACAAAATGCTCGTCCACATGTTTGTCTAACAGTGTAGGCAAAAACATGACTGTAGCTAATCTAAAGCCTACCTGAGTATTTTTTAAACCAGGTATCTCAGGCAAGGATATGGCACAGCAACAGCAGCATGAAACTCAGTACAAGCCAGCTGCTTGAGTATTTACTCACCTTGTCAGGCAGAGTATGGCGTTGGGACTATATTGTTTTAAGTACCGAAACTAGCTAGCTCAAAATTTAATTATATCTATATAAGATGCAATGCAGGTCTACCATCAAAAGATGTTATTTTATAATAAAGCCTGACAAAAAGTCACAACAATCATAATTACTGGAACAGTACAATACAGAGTACCCTTTGCTACCTTTCACAGCAAACAAGCTTTCACAAGCTAATCTTTTGGGGAAGGCAGTTATGGCTGGAGTCATTTGAACTGATTCATTAAGCCATAGGAATAATAAGTAAACAATTACCTCTAGTAACTGATCACCATACTCAAGGCCAGCTTGATGGGCAATGCTCCCACCTGTTACTTTAGAGACAAATATTCCACCATTTTCTCCGCTCACAATGGAAATCCCTAGTGGCTCAGAACCCTTCTGCACTTTAACATGACGTGGCTCTTCCATGTAGGGCCTTTTAGAGGAGATAGTTAAAACTGATTTGGACAAAATTGCACTTGAACCATCACAATGTCAAAGTTACATGCAATACTTTATGTCTGTCTGAACTGTAATAATAAAATAGGTTTAAACAGTTACTTTAAAAAAATTTACTGTCAACTGCCTTAAATGCATTCCTTTAACACCATGCAACATACAGTGGCAGAAGTAAATGTATACCAGTTACATGACTGCTCTAAAACATTATGGTAAATATGAATTACAAATAGGATGGTGGTGAAGTTGGAAGGAAAGAAGCTTCCAGATGCATATTATATAAAAGTAATTGAACCACTGTATATAACATGTAATTTATAAAACATATTCCAGAAAGGTATGTTACAAATATAAATGCTGGGAGTCTTTATTGCCAGTGAAAATAAACATTGTAAATAATAAGGTGGTAAACCAAAGGACAACAATGCACAAATATCAGATTTCACATTTGTATGCAGGGAAACATAAATTAGCAATGAAAATTAAGCAGTTGCAAACTCAAGCCATTAGGACAGCAGTTTGCATGGTAGCATTACAATTACCATGCAAATTCTCCTCAGAGCAATTATCCAAACATGTAAAATAGCACCAAGTGCGCAGTACTGCTCGAGAAGGACAACCTTATATCAGGCCAACCTCAAACTCCTTAGTGATGAGAACCTAGGCCTAGGAGCCACAGGGATTCTCAGAAAAGACCTATTACGGAACAGATATCTGAAAGACGTAGAAGATTTGAGAGGAAAAGAACACTTAGAAAAAGACATACAGTAGTACTAAGTAGTATAACAAGAGAACAGCTTATACAAAAGAAAACCCGGATACATTCCCCTTTCCTCCCCCCACAGTTAGGATGTATCCAGCTGTACAAACAGGGCTGGTCCCTTCATGGTGTGGATAAAAAAACAGTAGCCTCCTAAAAAGTGCTGGTTCATATTACTATTAGTATCTAACACAGCAAAAGGCATCACCAGATATTAACAGCTGAGCTTGTTCTGAATGAAACAGCTTGGGTACCAGGTGTGGTGTATTTTTTATTTTAATAGCTTTATACTATATTTGACTACTATATCAGAGTGTTTTCTTTCCTAACACTTCATTTTATCATATAGGCATTCTCTAAATTGTGCCAACTGCTTAAACAATTTTAATTGTGCTGTTCAGAGACAAGATGAGTTAACTGGACTTCACTCACTGCTACTAATGTGAGCCAGGCTTTAGAAAAGGTATTTTTGGAATGAGTAGGACTTGGGGTTGGGGGCAGAGGGAAGAGGACATCATAAGTTATGCTTATTGCCACAGCCTTGGAAGGTAACTATTCAGTAGCCTTCTGCAGCAGAGGCATAATAGCTTGCCAGCTTATTAATGCATAAAAGATAAAAACTGGCTGCTGATATGAATGCAACTCCGGAACCCAGTAATCTTATAACATCAACATCACTCAGAGCTTGTCTATCAATGTAATGAAGATAAGGTAGTTTACTACCAGCAAACTTAAACTGAAGCCCACATTTTTTGTATGTAGCATATCTTAACTAAACTGTGCTAACTCCCAGAAAACTGCAATTCATGAACTTTTTCTTTTAACTCATTATGAGCATGTAAACCATGTTGTTATATGAAGCTTCTCAGTACCACAAGATTTATCAAGACATACTAAGTCATTAAAAACTAAAATTACATCTTTCTGAACTTTATTTATTGTACCTTTCTGCTTTTCCATCTACCACATGCATTTTTAAATTTGTTTTGTTTCTTTGTTTTGGATTGGAATAAGAAAGAATCAAACCCATATAAAATTGCACAGGATCAGATCTTAGAATTCTAGTAAATACAAAATGAAAGATAACTAGTAATGCATGTAGTAGAGAATCAATAATAAAGTGAAACAGAATGATAACATTAAAAGGTGTCTTACTTGGTAAGCAGTGTTATTAAAGTGAAGCGCACTCTTCTATAACATTCAGACTGCCTGCCACTAAAGACTGATTAGAAAAAAGTCTTAATTGATCAGATCTTTTAATTTTCATTTAAACTAAAATCAACAGAACAAACAGAAACATTGATTTTTGTTTTCATCTGTATTATTATTTTTATCACCTGCAGAAAGGCCAAACGAGTTACTTGTATTTTGTGGGGAATAGAAAGAATTAAGTCCAAATAACCATTTAAAATGCTATCTAGGCATCTTAAAACATTTTCTTCGGATATACTTAACTTAGCTACTTTCCTAAATTAAGAACTGCTTGTGTGTGTTAGTTTTTTGTTTTGCTTTTAAAAAAATAAAAACAAAACTTAGCATTACATTCTTTTTAGAAAGTCAATTTAGACTACGATTTATATATAAGCACAGCAAGAGCAAAAGGAATGGAACCTGACTGTACTTCAATCATCTGAACAACATTAACAGAAATTCTTATTTCCCTAAGATCAGAACATTTATCTTGTGCTCAGAGATACAAAGTTATAGGGGTATCAAAAACCTAGCTTTTTCAGCTGAACATTATACATCATTAGTCACGTGAAAGAGAAAAGAAATTCTGACTTTGAATTTGCAAGTGACAATTAAGAGGAACATTTATATGAGAACGCAAATTGAGTACACATAGTACAAAAGTCACACTGAAGTAAGGAAGAATGAAAATTCACAAAAACCTCTTTAGATTTCCTTTCAAAGTAACACTGTCCTTTGTACACAATATACATTCTAGATTTACTACAATAACTTAGTTACCGATTCTTTAAACAAGACAAAAGTTTCATATAACATTTTATGAATAACTTTTTATTACTACCAGAAAACTTAGAATACAGAATATCCTTATTACTTTATCATTCACATTTTTTATGGTCAATCCTCTTACATAAATCAAGCAATACAAAGGGGTCTTGAAGTCCACATAAATGTAATCTATTCCAACACATCATAGCTCCTTTACACTGCCAGAACAGCATTCGGCTGCCTTAACTATAAATAAAAGCCTGATTCAGATTTGTGTCTTACTATTCAATGCTTTGAATTCATGCAAACTTTTTCATATATCCAGTCTAGCTAGATCATGATAAAATGAAATCAGATGTCCAAGACTGATACCATAAGCAACATATCTTGAAAATATTCATCATGAGATATAGAAAGCTGTTAGAACAAAAAGCCCATGTTTTTAGGAAAGCTATCATATCAGGTTCAAATTCTGCAAGTAGCTACACATACACTTAATGTTATTGCTAGCAGCTGTCCAGGTACAGCCAAAGGGATCAGTCACAGTAGTAAAATTGCATCTGTACACATGGATACATTCTTGCACAGTTATGCCCTCAATTTTTCATGTTATCTGGCTAAACTGAATCAAGGCACAGTGGTTAGAACACACGTTCTACAACGCTAACGCACCTGATATTTAGCTATCAGATGTTACTAAGTCTTCATTTTATTTAGTTTTTCAGAGTACAGAACAAGCCTATCGCAAACAAGCATCTGAGGCAGTTCAGCTGAAAGGGTGTATTCCAATTTAGACCGCTCTTATTTGGTGTGGCCATTAATCTAACATGGAAGAAATAAAACACATATGAAATTCCTTAATTTCCTAAACTCAAGAACCTACTCTTCAGTTCTGCAGGAAAAATCCACACAAAGATCTCTTACGTACTTTGTAAAGAAAATAAAACCATCGAGTAACAGGACCTGAGATGCACCTCTGCGCCTACATCTTTGTCATTTAAATTAAATGTTCACGTTCCTTCAGCCCAATAAACAAATGTACCAAATTTCCTCAGACATATTTGTATTAAAAACAAATAACATGGAGACCTTACCTATCTTTTCTACGTTCTCCAATAGATACTGGGCTAATGGAAATCCTTGGTAATGTAGAAAGGGAGTTCTGAGACTGGCTGCTGGCAAAGGAAGACGTTTCCAAGTTAAGAGGTGACTGTGGAGGAGTTATCAAGCTGGGACTGCTACATTCAGAGTGTGACAAGGAGCCTATGGAAAAATCAATAGTTGAGTTTTAGTATCCTGCGTCGGTCATAGTTTGGAGATCTACACAGACATAGTGAAAGACACCACACACATCTGAGACAAGAAAGAGGACCGCCTGTTCACTAGCACTCTATCAACCATGTAAGGAGCTTAGGGAGACCAGGTAACTAATTTCAGACAGTGTAAACTTACTGTCCTTAATGACTATATGTCAAATCTCTCCTTGGTAAGTGTGCCTACAACTACTGCCATTCTCAACAAGGAGAGAATGTTACAGACAAGCTAAACCATATGCATGTCTGAAAACACTTAACAATGCAAAGTAAAAGAAAAATAATAAAAAACAGGAGAGGAGAAATAAAAGAAAAATTTAATATGTAGGTTTATTTTCACATAAAATATTTATGTACTGCCCTTTCCTTTGGGTACCAGATACATTATGAAACACCTGAAAACACCAACAAAACCCCAACATGAATCACACACAGAGACAAGAAAGCTCTGCAATTTCAAACAACCTTGACATGACTTTCCTTGCATCTCTTCCCTAATTGTGCCCTCCCTGAGTAATTACTGAACAAGCGCCCTGACAGAAAGATTCAGTTTGCTTCCTCTGAAAAAGCTACAGAAAATAAATCTCAAATTACTAATCACAAATGAAAGCCATTTGTAAGAATTGTATTTGCCCAGTTAGGAAAACCACTGCATACAATCCATTAAGGCTACAGAACATTTGAACAATGATGGCAGCGAAGAGTTGCCTTTTACTGTCATCGGACTCTGAATTCTACAGCTCTCCAGCACTCCAACTGGTATTTTTATCAGGTCTTTAAATATTCTCCACCAAGTAATTCTGAATGAAGTACTAAAATATTTTCACGGCATTTCAAAATACAATTTACAATCAGTAATACAATAATATGCAAAATAATATACTTAAAGAATCAAAAAAATAATGCAGGTCATCTCACTGTTTTAAGACATTCTAGAAGAAAACTACAACTGTAAAACATACAGCAATGCTTATTCTTACTTTTTTTTGTGCACTTTTTCTTAGTGTGCCATGTCCTAGAGTCAACTAACAGAAAAATCAACTTTCATTAGAAAGTTTCCTTTTTTTACCTTTCTGTGGCAAAATGCAAATTTTGTAGCCTTAATAAAACTGTCATATTTAGATTTTGGCGCAACCTGATTTAACAAGTGCAAAGGCTTTGGATTGGTAATACTGAAAACAGTACGACTAAAATTACTTATGAAATAATTCACCTCTGTCAGAGCCCATCATGGACCTTGGATATCTTGGTGTTAAAGGGATCTTAATTCGTTCTGTTCTGTATTGCAAGTTACTAGAAGAACCTATTTTTACAAGAAGAAAACATTACAATGATAAAAGTAAAAGCAACTACATTGAACAAAAAAGTTTATTTAGATTATACTTCTTCGATGAGCATTAAAATCGCCTTTGAATCTATGCACAAGCCTTGATGATTACCTTCATATATATTGTGTGTATCATATTTCTAGTAAATTGTCTTGATTACACAGCCAGTATAAACAGAGCACAATGCAGTTATACAGTATATAAGAACTGTTCATTCTTGTATGAAAAACTTTCAAAATATTTTTCAATCAAATGAAGCTTAACCTGAAGTCTGAGTGAGAATCTAACATCTCTGTTTACTAAGAACCCATGGGACTTTCCAAAAGGCATTTAAAATTTTCTGGTTACATTCTGCTTGGATGAATACTTAATTTTTGGACACTGGTTGCAAACTGTTATGCCATTTTTTGCTGTGGTTACAAAGCTGCCATGCTCTATTCAGATGCAACTGCCAATCATTGATGGAACACAGGAACACAAACAGGCACAAAAAAGTTATTACATAATTTAAAATTTGAAAAATTCTAAAATGTTAAAATGTCATTGCTACAAAGCATGTGTTTACTTCGGTATTACTAGGATAGGCATAAACAATCTTACATGTCAATCAAGTAAACATAAGTGTAACTTATCTTCCAACAATACAATTCATATTACACCATTAGACATCCTTGATTTTTTGTTCTAGGGACTCTCTCCTTTTCTCTTCTTCTCTCCACCTCAATGAACCTCAAAAATTCTTTGGCGGGGACTCCCATCTTTATAAGGGTACTTTCAAACAGTAGCAGGCACAGAAAGGAGAATCACTCACACACACACACACACCATTTTAAAGAGACTGTAAAGAATGAATTAAAACACAACTACTTCCAGGGAACATCTTTCGTCATAAAACCACAAAAAATGAGGCAAAGGAACACAGGAAGCCTTTAGGCTTTGCTAGCTGTGACAATCCCATAACACATGTACTTAAGGAATTTTCCATTTATTCTTTGTCTGCAATATGTAGGAATCCCACAAGAAATAAATCGGAAAAGCTAGTTACCAAGTCTTGCACTGGATGGTAATGAATTTGAGCCATGAGATGCTCTTGTACGTGAATTTTCAGAATAGTCATTGGACTGTTTATGACTTAGGTCCAAACTCAGGCGACCTTGATGCTGGGAACTACATCAAAAGAAAAGGAGAATAGGGCAACAGTTAGAACTGGGCAAAGCACCTCAGCAAATAGCAAACTGGCCTACAAAAAATTTTGGTTATCCCTGAGTTACTGAATAAAATGAATGCTCCTCTCCTTCCCACTTCCCAATTTCCCATCATTTTATGAACTAAGAGAAGTCAGAGGAAAAATAGCCTAAAGCGCTATAAAAAAAAAAAAGGGAGAAAGCTTTATTTGTTTTGGCATTAGAACATTAGAAATTAGTTCATTAAAAAAATAAATGTCTTTGTCAATATCAGACAGTAGAGCAGAGGGAAACCTAATCCATCAGTTACTGAAAGAAATTAAAACAACCGGCACATCACTTCTATGAAATAATGGTTTTGAGAACTCTGGGTCAAAATAACACACAATAGCAGTGTGTTTCACTCTGCACTGTATAAAACAACTACCAGAAGCAATTTCATCCTAATAAAAACAAAAATTTAAAGAGCTATAAATTTCAAACCACCTGGGATGCAGATGCTGATGACATATTTGGCTGGCAACTGATGGGCAATTGCTGGTGTGAACTCTATGGCTCCAGGCAGTATAGATTGGATTTCTCATGACAGCAGTTACTGCAGGGCAGGGTGCTAAGCTTCTTGGTACTGTACCTGCTTAAGATGATAAAATCACGTTCTTACCAACATTATTAGCATATAAGCTACAGATTTTAAATACATTTAAATATTTATAAAATTCTTTATTACAACATTTGCATGTATGAACATGTATCTATAAATAATAATGTATTTGTTTGCTAATAATTTTTAAGCACCATGTGACACCTTTTAAGCAGTACTTACATATTTAAAATCTAGTTTGTTTATAATTTTGTAATGAGTCAGTAATAAAGTGGATTGTATTACCAAAAATGAAGTCATTCATAGTATATCATTTTAATATGCACTGGTAACTGAAAGATTTTCTCTGTTTCTAAGTATCAAACTTTTTTATACAGGAACAAAAATTCTGCATTTCTCTCTGAGGAGTCATCTGACAGGAACACAAGTTTTTATTTGGTACTTGAACTGACTGCAGCTAAAATGATTCTTGCTCCTCTTCTGTTGCCTTGAAGCCCCCCACTCTGTGACTTTAAATTATACTATTTCAATATTTATTTATGAAACTTATTACTCAAGCTGTTCTTTCAAGTACACTCATCCTTCAGTACTCAACCAAAGTCGATCTTATCAATTTCCTCTTAAATGAGTTGGTAGCATAGAATACAGTATCGAAAACATGTTCACCTTTCAAGACATACAATCATATTGTCTAGTGTAGGTTTGACTTGAGTGGGTTATTATGCAAAGGTATCATGACAAGATAAAGCTTTTAGTTAGAAATAATACCTTTTAATACTTTTTCTATATCATCATCAAAGGAGAGAGAAAGAGAGAGGAAAGAGTAAAAGAAAGAGGAGCAAAAGCTGCTTTGATCTGAGCTACTCTCGAGCATGTCTTTACATTCTGAAAATTCATTGGGACAACAGGGTTTGAAGCTGTGCATTGCTCCAGATACACAGGTGTTGTGGTTTAACCCCAGCCAGCAACTAAGCACCATGGAGCCACTCGCTCACTTCCCCCCAACCCAGTGGGATAGGGGAAAGAATCAGGAAAAAAAAAAAAAGTAAAACTTGTGGCTTGAGATAAAGACAGTTTAATAGAACAGAAAAGAAGAAAATAATGATAATAATAAGAATAATAGTAATAAAATGACAATAATAATAAAAAAAAATTGGAACATACAAAACACGTGATGCACAATGCAATTGCTCACCACTCGCCAACCAATGCCCAATTAGCTCCCAAGCAGCGATCTGCCCCCACTCCCCTGGCCAACTCCCCCCAGTTTATATACTGGGCATGACATCACATGGTATGGAATATCCCTTTGGCCAGTTTGGGTCAGCTCTCCTGGCTGTGTCCCCTCCCAACTTCTTGTTGCCCCTCCAGCCTTCTTGCTGGCTGGGCATGAGAAGCTGAAAAATCCTTGAGTTAGTCAAAACATTACTTAGCAACAACTGAAAACATCCGTGTGTTATCAACATTCTTCTCATGCTGCACCCAGAACATAACACTATACCAGCTACTAGAAAGAAAATTAACTCTATCCCAGCCAAAACCAGGACAAGAAGTCATTACCTTCCTCATGGTTTCAAGTAAAAAGAACGTCTTCCATAATATCTAGAACATGCAGGAGTTTGGGGCTTTTCAAAGAATCGAGGGCAAACTCATAAAAATCAATATTGTCTTGATTTGAAAATCAAGTTTCATATGCAGCTGCTGAAGGTAGCTACACTAAAGAGTGAACAATCAATCTGCCAACAAGTTTACCAAATGCTTCTCAACCAGTTCAAAGCAACTAGCATATGATACTCTAATTAGCTGCTGAAGCACTCCATTTAGTCAGTGCCAATTTAAAACCTGCTAACATGAACTTCAATACCAACAACTGTTTGATCAACTGAGACAACGTGCTAACTGTTTTCTATTCTACCCGATTATATTGATTTCTGCGTGAGCTGCTTGTTAGTCCAGTCTTCAGCAGCTTAGTATCTCAAACACGTTGGCATTTAATCTTTAATTTAGATTAAGATCACAACCAGTTTGGGCACTCAACTTGAGATATTCCAAGCATTTGATTTTCAAAAGGCAGAACTTAATATGTTGCACCTTCTGAACATCAGATCTTTTTCCTTAGAAGTATTTCAGAAGTTAAGCAGCTAAAGCTTGGGATGCCTCCATTTACTGTTCGCTTTCAAAAATGTTGGAAATCTTACATGTCTTCCTAACGCATAGGCTACACCTTGCTCGCCGCTAGTGTATTCAAAACTCTGCTGCACAGAAACTGGTGAAACAAATCCTTCAGCCAGGAGTTGCTCAGTTTCCTAAATGGTTCTTAAACAGGTTTCACTTCTTTACAGTCCAAAAGCTGAGCAGACCCATGCTTAGATTACAACAAGCCATGGAAATATGTTCTATGAGTCATGTTTGTTCTGCTCTTATCATGACTAATCCCCAATATTGTCCAATACGGACGAATTCCTTGGGGCATTCCTAGAAAGTAACTACAAGTTCTGTTACTCACCTGCTGACATGCCACCAGCATATAAGGCAGCAGGCACAAAGCCATCGCTGTGCCTAGCAGACCGTTTTGGTGAATATGGTGCCCATTCCTGCAGCTCTGGAGACAGATGCTCCTCACTAGCTGGAGCATACTTCTGCACCTACAAAAACAGAAATTTGATTACAGGAAGTTGGAGATTCAGAAGAATAAAATAGCCAAACTTTGTAGGCAGTAAGCAACTTCAAACTTTCTAGTATCTGTTCCAGAATGTGCTCACCATCACAGTGCTTGTTACACCTTTATCTTTCAATTATGCTATTTGCTTCTACCCTTTCTTCCTCCACCCTGCTCCGTTATTCCTTTTTATTATTTCGAAATCTTTTTAGACCAATGTTTGCAACTTAACTAATATACTTTCCTTCACAAGAAAACACCCATCATTTAGTTACATTTATCCTTTAAAATACTGCTTTCACAGGACATTTTAATGGTTATTTCAGCCACTACCGCAAGTGTTTCCTAAAGAAGACCTGGCTAACAAGCCAGAAAGTGTTTTCCTCTAAGCCTGTATTTTCAGTAAGTGTGGAGCAACCTCTCGTTAAGAGCAATTCAGGTTTTGGAACCATCACAACTTCTGTTCTGTACATAATGAGTAGACACTGATAAGTTAAGAAACATGAGAATAGCTCAGCTACTGACAGTGATGCTAGAGAGCTGCAAGTCGGCACAGAGAGTTTATACATTTGAAATGTACAACACAAAACATGAGATTGAAGTATGTAGTAAGTGAAAAAGAATCACTGAAAAGGTACTTAGAGGTTTTTATGATAGCAGTATTATAATTAAATGAAGTTACTGAGAGCACAAAGACTCTAAAATGCAGAGGTACCTTCTTAGAACCAATACTTGATCACTACTGTGGGTTCATTAGTAATTGTACTACCTACTACTCAGGGACAAAAGTTCTCTTAAATTTATCAACTTATCAAAGTACAAAACCTTAACTGTGTGTATATACGCAACTAAGGAAACTGATAACACCCAATACGGCTACAAATTAAACTACACTGCATGCTCTATATACATATCTTTGATATTATAAACACTACTTCAGTAATGAATACATGCAGGCTGGACACTACTGTCACACAGCCCAATGTAGCTGTAATGCACAAAGATGATTCCACCCGAGTGAAATTCTCAAGAGTGAATGGTGTCCACATTTTAAGGCACAACATCACTTCTGCTCTCCAGTCAACAATTTCAGAGTTACAAAGCTGAGCCTATTTTCTGGGAGAACGGGAGACAAATTAAGGGGAGGGAAAAAAAAATAATTAAAAAAAAATAATCACAGAACCTAGTCCTAATTTAACCTTAGAAACGTAAGTTAACTAATACATCAAATAACTTTAAAAAAACAAAAATTATTACTTTTTAATTCTATTATACAATTTTCTGCCTCACCTCGAACCAACACCTATATGATATCTGCAATATCACTTGGGCAGTACGTAGAACCAACTGTAATATGTTTATCCTTTCTGGTCTCTTAAATAGCGAGTGCCAAAAACACCCCCTCTGTAACAGCTAACAAATTTCTTACATGTAAGTCCCCAACTACATGTGTCCTTGTCACAGCTGGAAACTTCACTCACTATAGAAATATTACTACAATTATAACCAGGACAGTGTATATGCTCACAACAACGCACTATAATGAAGCATGGGGCTATTAGTGCTAATGGATCAACTTGATATTCTATATAAAGCAAACGCCCCATATTCAAATGTGTTCAATAGCTTGATCTTGTTTTGTTATTATATATGTGCCAAAAGATGACATTAGAATATGCCTTCCTTTGCTTCTTGCAGTGCAGTTCTTGATGAAAAACCATGACCTTTCTCTTAGCCATAATGCTCTTCAGACCTGTTCAGAATAAATCTGCTGATTTCAGCTACAAAATCAAACTCTTATGCTTTTCTGTTATTTTCTGTGCTGGTTTTGGCTAGGTTAGAGTTAATTTTCTTCATAGTAGCGGGTATGGGGCTATGCTTTGGATTTGTGCTGGAAGCAGTGTTGATAACACAGAGGGATGTTTCAGTTACTGCTGAGCAGCCCTTACCCAGAGCCAAGGCCTTTTCTGCTCCTCACCCCACCCCACCAGCGAGGAGGCCGGAGGGGCACAAGGAGTTGGGAGGGGACACAGCCGGGACAGCTGACCCCAACTGACCAGAGGGACATTCCAGACCATGTGACATCATGCTCAGCGTATAAAGCTGGGGGAAGGTTGGCAGGGGGCTGCTGGTCAGAGACTAGCTGGGCATCAGTCAGTTGGTGGTGAGCAACTGTTTTCACTTCCATCACTTGTCTGTCTTGGGTTTTATTTCTCTCTGTTATCTTCCTTTTCATTACAATTTTATTTATTTTCACTATTATTATCATTATCATTATTATTTAAGTTATTATTTCAATTATTAAACAATTTTTACCTCAACCCATGAGTTTTCTCACTTTTACCCTTTCAATTCTCTTCCCATCCCACTGGGGGGGAGTGAGCAAGTGGCTGCATGCTGCTTAGTTGCCAGCTGGGGTTAAACCACAACAATAATGCAGAATTTGCTGGACACTTCTATAACAAAGGCTTAAAGCTCTCTGTAACTATTTTTCCCCAAAAACATTAGGGAATATGGAAGAAATACAATGGAAGCAGCCAAAAAAAGACAAACAAAATCGCCAGTTGTTCTCTTATATCAGTATTTTTTGCAAAATACAGCTCCAATCCTTGCACTACTTCCAATTCAGCTCTGCTGTCTCTTTCTTTCTAAAACTCTGTGAAGAGGGTGGGATGATCCAGGTATAAACAAGTACGGGCAAAGAATATGATAGTCTAAGTCATTAAGATGTGATTATATACAAGCAAAAATAACACTTTTTGAAACTTCAGATTTTAGTTGGGAGGAAAAAAAAAAAAAATCTGTATCTGCCACCTGAGCAAATCTGAGGCAGTAGACCTGAAACTACATTACTGATTATGCCACTTTATATAATGTAGTCATCTAAACAGGTGGTTCTTCCTAGACAGCATAAAACTTTTCTTCCACCTATTCTGTTAAGACACGACCCACAATCTCCACAGCAGAGTTGTTTATTCCAACAAATTATACTCTCATTTTGAGCTGTATTATTAAACCATATTCTCATAAAACGTCCATCTTTACAGTGTAATGTGCCTAACACCCTATGAATTTCAAATTAGATTTACAAAATTATTTAGACACATAGAAAGACTTACAAAAAACAACACTGTGAATGTTATAACTTTTTCCATTAATTTGTACAGTGAGCTGGGCAACCAGTCTGACTTTTGTAAAACTTGAAGTCGTATTTTCAGCTTTTCTAAAGCTGCCTCTCTGCCTTTTTATTTAAGTTTTTTTCAGGTTGTCAAAAACATACAAGAGCGAGCCCAGATCTTCCAACAAGCAGCATTAAAACCCAAGATGTGGCTGCTAAGGAGCCCCATCATTCTGTTTGGCAGCCACCACTGCCTGTTAAATACTGCAACTTCATGAATTGATTTTGTATTTTGTGATACTGCAAAGTGCCAAATGAGTTTGGGGTAGCTTCTCAGGGGACCTGGATTTTGAGGATGGGCTATGCTTCTCATGTTATGGTATGTAACTGCGCACCCAAAACCACACTGAAAATACATTTTAACATTTCTAGTTTTGTGCTTCAATATACCAAGCTTCTACCTGAAGCGCAGGATTAGGAATGGGCATAGGGGTCATTTTATGCCTTAGAGCAGGAGCTGATTTTGGCCTTGGTCTTTTAACCTCTGGCTCTTCAACTCTTTGAAAGCCAATGTCATCTTCACAGGATTTTCTTGAAGAGAGATGAGTGCAGTCAATTCCCTCCTCCCGATAATAACGCCCAGCATTCCTGCTGCGCCCCTTGAGAGTAGCAGAGTCCTGTTTAAGTGCCAAGGAAACTGGAGCTTGGGCAGTGGCTGGGCTGGTGGGTGGTGAACCAGTTGTTACCGTAGACTCTGATGCTGAGCTTGCCTGCTGTTTATGCTTAAATTTGATAGAGTCACTTCTCTTCGGAGGAGTTGGAGGAGTTGAAGTCACTTCAGCTTTTGATGGCTGAGGTGAATGGCCTGTTACCTGATTAGGGGAAAGGTATTCCAGTTTAGGAGGAGTTGGTGGTCTTTTGAAAGTATCAGGGTCAAAGATAGATTTCCTTTGTTTTGGCTTTTTGTACACAGAGAACTTTTCTGTTTCTGTTGTGGAGATATTCACCATGACTTTTGGCCAGGTACCACCACTATGCTTAGTTCCATGTCCTTTGTCAAATGTGGTCTCAACCATCATACAGTCAGCTCCTGTAGGCTCATATGGCAGCCTCCGGTTGTCCAAGTCAACAGCTCCATAGCCTCGGTCCCCATATGTCTCTGGGCTGAAGGAGCTGAGGCTGTGTTCTGAATTACTGTGGCAACTGTGCACTGTGTTCCTATGAGAGTCTACTCGTAATGGGTTATTAGGGAAAGTTTTGTGATCGCAAAATGAACCGCTGCCCTGATCACTCTGGTCCTTCTTCCCATCCATGATGTCTGGATTGAATATGTCAGTCTGGGTTGAGCTGTTGAGTTTCAGATTTCTTTTATTTTGGGCTTGTATCTCTGTGGCGTGAACCCTACAGTTTGATATTTTTTCTGAATCCTTCAGATTTTCAAAAATATTTTGACCACTCCAAGATGAACTCTGAGGAAAAACCTAAAACAAAAACCACACGGGATCACCTTATTATTATGGCTGATTTCTGTTTAGTATGAGGCATTTTCTAGCCTCCTCGATTTACCTATAACTGAATATACACCAAGACATGTATAGATATAGTTGGGAAAGGTTTAATAAAATCTTACAGATTCAAAGCACAGAACATCAGATAAAATTAAGTTAAGAATTTTTTGAAACATTTTCAGAACTATTCCAGAAGGGCAGCTCCACACGGTGGCAGAAGCACTGAACTGACAGTGAAGGGACCTGCACTCTACTTCTACCTCTGTTAAGTGATGCTAATAAGTCATCTTTCATTGCCCATTTTCCCTCAAATATTTCATCTTTTTACTTTCTTAAAACCTCAAGCTCTCTGGAGCTGGAATTATCACTCACAAACCTGTGTGACAGGCCCAGCATAATGGGATTGTAAACTCAATAAGCAAAACAGAATAATATTTTTATAGCAATAAGCCTTAAGAAGAAAGCCTTGTACTTAATCTTCATGATAGCCAGAGATCCGTTTTCTGCACAACTCCCTCCTGACTAAAAGCAAACCTTTCTGTAGTCAGGAGGCAGTTTATCTTTCATATATCTTTCTGCTGCAGCTCTGAAGCAGAAACCAAGAAGAAAGAAGCAATTGTGCTAGGAATCATTTTATGTGACCAGCAAACAAATAGAAAAGAAGCAAGAGCAATAAAAACAAGGTCCATTTTCTACTAGATGCCACAATAGCCTCACGTTGGAAATAACTGTTCAGTGAGTGTACCACCAGTGAAATGCATCCGGATGGTCTTATTTTTAGCAGAGACTTTCCCATGATCATATATTCATTTCTTTCATTTACTCTTCCCTGAACAACTAAAATGATTCTGTATAAGTTCAAGAAAATTCTGCAAATTTAGCTTCTCCTACTCACCTTCATCAGTGACAGGGTAAGGGAATCCCTACAGTTTCGTAACAAAGCTTCACATTCAGTAAGCGACTTATTATCTAGTGCAATGCCATTGATCTACACACAAAAAAATGCAACAGACATCCATAAATGAAAGGTAGCAGGTGGAGAGCATCTTAAGGTAGCATCTCTGAGACAGGGAAAACACTAGTTTTATATTTATACATGACTGAAGTCTGGTTGACCTTGTCCTGTCTTTTTCCATTCTCCACTAAAAAACCAAGCCTCCTAACTACAATCTTGCTATTCCTCCCAGAGATACAGTGTAGCAACACTTCTTTCACTACATTGGCCTCTATGCATTTGTACATCCACAGTAACCACCTTCTGTTTCAAAGGAGTTCATAAATCAGACAGGTCCTTTAAGGCTGCAAATGCACACAGGGAAAAACTTCCCCCCAGAAGGATGACATCTGTGATACCATAATTTAAAAGACAAGAAACCTTTCATCCAACCAAGGGATGTCTTTTTGGAACTGACCTTTCCTATTCAGTATAAAAATCACAATTATGATTACATATAAGCCAAATGTGAAGAGTAAGTCAGTCTCTGTCAAAAATTCTCTTATGAACTAAGCGTAGCAAATAACCTGTACGTTATATTAATTAGTCAGCCTACAAACACATTAATTTATAATAAATATTTAGTGAATATACAAAAAAGGTATAATACAGTGAAAGTAAAAAATTAACTGGAAAATCTGGGATCTTAAAGACTAGCATCAATGATAACACTTTAAAATAAATAAAAAATAAAAAAGGAGAATGCATTCTTAAGACTTACAGCAATTATTCTATCTCCCACAGTAAGGGAACCCTCTTTGGCAGCTGGGCTTCCGGGCACAACAGCAGCAACAAATATTCCATTTTCTAGACTGACCCCACTATCTGAAATAGACACACACAAAAAAGAATTTACTCCTGCAGTTCAAATACATTGCTCAAACAGCACGTCTGACCCACCTGCATGAGGAAGAAATATAACTACTAAACCAACTGAACTTCAATTTCTGAAAACCCTTTAAAAGAAATAAGAACACAGTGGGGGAAAATAGGGATTTTGGATATCCCCAAATTTAATGTAATCATACAAAGCTAGGGTGACTGATGGGTTTAACAGTCTTGTTTAGACTCTGGGTAACACTCCAGGCAGGCAGCTAACTAGAACTAAATATTTAAAAAAAAACCAAGAACACCCAAAACCCATGCAAGAACAAAAAAAGAAAATCTGTGCTTACAGAATAAAGCTATCATCAATATTAGCATTCTTAGTTTGCTAAAAACAATTAATGAAAAATCCCCATGTAGAAGGAAGGAACCGTTTAAGTGGGATTTAAGCAGAGGCTCAGAACATGTACCTTTATGTCAAGCCATTTTTGGCTGAACAAACATATATCATTTACGTACATCCTTTATAGCCATTACCTTTATGTCCAGAAACATTGATGTGAAGAGGTGTTATCACTCGCCCACCTAAGGACTTCCTTCTTCGAACCACCATGTTAATAACACCTCCTCCATTTAGAACAGCTTTTATAACTTGCTTTTTATCCTTATTAGTAAGATCTACATCATTTATCTTCAGCAACCAATCATTCACTCTGGTAGATAAACAGAAATAAGCAGGTCAGTGTTATAACCATACTTTGCTGGATGTAGCACATGAGTAACATTCATGAAAAGGGATGCAAGAGAGCTGATCTCAATATGCTAATCCTTAATTATCTGGAGTTCTCCATTCCTGAAAAAGCATTAAATAACAGCTACATGAAAACCAGAACTTCTAGTCTGCACTTCACTAGCAAAAGTATATTCTCAAACCACTAATGACTACTCCTTATTTAAAAGCAACTCTTTGGACAGAGGAAGGTTATTAAAAGACTCCTATCAACACTAAGAACAGGAGCAGGTTTCAAATTATCCCTTGATCTACTCTCCTTTTCCCTTGCCCTCCCCCATGCTCAACATCATGTCTTTCCCAAAATTTAAATACATAGCTCAAAGTTTGAGGAGATAATAAACAGAGTAGGTAAGACACAGAGAAACAAAAGAACATTCTGAATCCTGGATGAGTCAAACAGTGTTTAACTTCTGTAATGTTTTTAGGCATTGGTCTTCTCAGTGCAATTTCCCAACGAACATTAATGACATACACATGAGCAATGATAAAAAAGAACTTACAAAATAGGAAAACTGAAGACAATATACAATATGCTCACATTTAGTTTATTATGATCAACAAAAGACAAGTATCTTCCAAGGTCAAACCCTACCTTAATCGACCATCAGCAATACTTCCTTTGTCTACTTTGGTAACGAAGATCCCACAGTCTCCAGGGAGGTATGGTTCATTCACACCTTCTGCCACATCAAAACCAAGTGCTTTCAAGTCCATATCATCCTAATAAATATTAACAAGTGACTCAACTGCACTGGCAACCATTGTACCGCTGTCTGTTAGCAAGAGGCATTACTGCATGTTTGTACTAGGCACTTACATTTACAGGGTACCTGTTCTAGGCAAATTTTTATATTTTGTACTTCAATATATAAGCTTCCATTAGTCATTAGGCATCCTCTGGCATTAGAGCAATCCTTCTCTCTCAGATTAAGGCTGAAATAATGCAGAAGGGGAACTACACCAAAGAGGAATAGGAAAGCAGAAGAACATGCAAAAAAGCACATTCAGACACATATAACCTGTTTTAAGGTATGATGCTGGATGTGTAATGGGAGAACAAGGACATGTCCCCCGAGAATGGGCATTACTTGGGGAAAAAACAATTGTAAAAGTAAGGAAACAGCATTGTGTCGTAGCGATGAACTCCGAAAGATGCCCGCTTTGATATGGCTAGAGACCAGAAGTAAACAGTTAGGAGAGTTCTAACATTATGGGGGACCATTTCTAAATACAGATTAGAGGCGATATTCTACCAACCGTGATCCAAAACAGATCATCCTCGATGTGAAAAGTGATAAACATCTTTAACAGATCGGTCATTGAACCAAACATGGAAATTTTAATTTAGTGTTTGCTTTGGTAAATGGCAAGGTGACTGTAAAAAAAACTGGTTAAAGAAAATAAACTGGTACCAACTAATCACAAACTGATTTATTATTGCTACTTTCAGTGTTAAATACTACACTTACAAAAATTAGAGAACTCTACTTGAAATCAGCTGGACCAACCATCTCAGCATACGGAAGGGAGACGATACTTGAAATTTAAAATCTAACATGCAAAAATTAAAGACAGCTTAAATCAGACACGTAAAGCATGGTTCTAGACATGGTTTGATGACTAATCACCTTAAAATCAGAAGAGCATAAAGTCTTCAGGGAGTGCAAAAGACACCTGATAAAAGCTGAAGATAAAACATGCAAAAATATGAATATTTACCAGAAGTTACATTGAGCTAAACCTACCAAAAATATACTAAAATCTTTATGATTCTTCCAAATATTCTATGTAAGAAAAAAGTTCATAGGAAAGAACATGGGGTGCCATAAAATAAAGATCGAGTAGAGATCATAGTATCATTGCACAGCCTCAAAGCTGAAAAGTGAATATTGTTTCTCGCAGTTTTGAGCCGAGTGATTATCTAGAACACAAGCTTAAGCAGACAGGTGAAGTTGAAGCAAAAATAAAAGGATTTAAATGTATTCAACTCTATAATCTCCATCCTGGAATTCAAATGATGGTAGGTCAGCAAGGATTTTCCCATATATCTAATCAAGGTTGGCACAGTATTATTACTATCATTTGATAGCAGCAAGTGTAATCCCCATGTTTAGGAAAGGGAAACATATAGTCAAATGACAAAGTCTACACATTTGATCTCAGTAATGCAAACATTTAGAACAATCTTTGAAGTAAAGAATAACTAAATAACTGCACATGAATGGAAAATTCATCAGGCTGCAATGTTGTTTATCACAGGTACAGCATATGCTAGACTTGCCAACTCATTTTACAGACAAAAGAAAAGCAAAATTATTAGTTATCAGTTAAAATGGAGAAGATGGCAATGCACAAAATCTGATGATGAAGGAGCTGCTCAAAAGAGATGGAAAAGCATGGTGAAAGAGGAATGGTTATCCCAGAAAGAATTTACAGGCGGTGGTCCTGATGGATCTGCATTGGTGCTCAGTTCATATAGTCTTTTCAATCTATATATTTCAACATATAATAATACTAAATAATATTTTTAGTGTCAAAAAAGAAATGTATTAGTGATTTTGTTGGGATGCACTATCAGAACACAGATTGGAAGAGCATAAAAAAAGATGACCCCAAATATTGCAGTAAAATAAAAAGGACTGAATTTGACAGCATTAAATCACAAACTATGTCATTCAGGAATGAGAAAGAAATTCTGGTATATGCAGAAGCTGTTATAAATGAAACACCATCTGGAAGACCACCTGTGTGTTCTATGCAGTCAAAAAAATTACTACTAGCAAACAATGTGATGTGCCAGTCAAAAATTTCAAATAGAAGAGAATACAAGACTAGCATACAAAGCAGTGAAATAAAAATTATAGACTACAACAAAGAAAAATAAAATTAAATGGAGAAAAGTACTATTAGGATAATGAAAGGATGCAGAGGTTATCTGGAAAGCTAAACATAAGAACTTTATTTAATATTCCAAAATGGAAGAGGATTTAACTTTCTCTACAGACAAGCAAGAGAGATTATAGCATCTCCTTTCATCCCAGATTTTTTAAGCTGAAGGGCAATGTTGTCCTAAAATATACGTCCATCATGAATAAATACTTTTAATACTTTAACATTTCTAACCATCAAATCTGAGCAAAAGTAAGACAAATAACCTCATGTAAAAAGCTTAACTGTTTTATGCATAGTTTATAAGTGATGTTGCCTGTAAGAGTAGAGGACTGGGCTCTCTGAAATCAGTTTTTCTATCACATCTTAAGTTTCGGCTGCCTTAGCACTGCTATTTCTGCAAGGAATCACTAACTTAAAGAATACTAAATGTTTAACTTAAAACATTTCCTATAGTACATGGACCTGGGTACCCTGAAAGATCAGAGGAAGGAACTATTTTTATTTATAATTCATATGAAGAAAAATGCAAAGCTTGAGTATAACAGTTTGGTTTTGCCAACTACTTTCATCTAGACGTTACTGCACTTGCTGCACACGTGTGTGGTTCCTCGCACAACAACAATAAAGAAATAAAAACCCCACAGATTAAAGTGATTTTTAATCATATCTAGTATCAAGATGTTACAATTGACTTAAAGGTATCCAATATATAAGACAATGCAGTTGATGTTTTTGACTTACTCTGTCTTTTTCAAATTCTACCACTTCTGTTTCCCATTCCAGAGAATCTGTGTCTATGGCTGAGTCATGGGAACTATGGGCCATCAACTGACGGAATCTGGCCTCCTTTTCCAACTGATTCTCCATCTTCTCCCTAGGCAAAGAAAATAATTATTTATGAACACAGACAACCCTTTTAAATAAATTGATACATAATGTTATCATTATGAGATACATTGTATTTTGTTTTCTAACTCAAAAATCCAAGCTGTGCCAAAAATTTGCCCCATGCTTCCATCCTTCCAATACTCTTAGGCTATTATCAAATTTACTTTCTTTTTCCATATATTGTCCTAACATAAGTCTTACATTTTTTGCATTATTTTTACATGAATGAATTACACAGTTAGGTTTCTAACATCTCCCAAAATGCATTTAATTTACCCTCAGAGAAGCTATATTGGTATGCTCAGGACAAGTGGGGCATGATAAACATCAACAGCAAAACCTCTCCCACAATCCACTGAGATGACATATGATGCACATCTTCCTTGCATTCATAAACCAGTGAGAATACAGTTGGGAGGAACCAAGTTGCAGTTAATCCAACTTCAGTGAAAGAATCTGATATTGCTTAAGAGTATCTCCACAGTATAAAGCTTAGAATATGTGTCTCATTAATGAGATGAAAGGGTTAAGATAGTAGAGACTTAGGGTCCTTCCCACCACAATAATTTCCATGATAACTAAATACATAGGCAATGTTTCCACGTACAATATCTGAATACCTGCTGCCCACAGCTATAACAACATATGATTCGTTTGCGAACACAGCTAACAAACCAAAGTTTTTATCACAAATTTCCATGCAGTTTGATCATTTCTCTAACATACTTCAGTTCCTTCAGTTCACGAACAGCGTCGTTTTTCTGCTTTCTCATGTCATCCAGATTGCGAAGAGCTTCAGCCAGGTCGCTCACAGCCCGGTCTCTCTCCCTCCTTAAGTTGTCACACAAAGTCCTTCAGAAGCAAAGAAGTTTCAATTTAGTTACTTAAAACCCTATCAAAGTAACAAACAAGTTTTACCATATTGTATAGTTAATGCAAAATTTTAAAAAGCAATTTCAAAAGCTCTTTCTCAAAAAAAAAAAGTATAAGGAAGAAAAAAATTGCATATGCTAGGTCTTAAGGAAAAGCTTGTCAAGATAACAGAAACTTCCTTCATGCCTTTCAAAACTTTATTTCTACCTATCTTCTTTAATCTAGCACAAAAAAATTCTGATTGAAGTACGTTCCCTTAGTTTCTTACACATGTTTAGGAGCAACTATGGTGGGTACTTTTTGCAAAATGTCCCCACAGGTACAGAATTATTTGCAGGACTATAGCTATAGCAGGATTAGGTATATTATGCCTAAAAGAATGCATAATTTGTTGTTCCTACGTAGCAGTGCTGTTAGGCTCTATGGTATTTCTTAGAGACATATTATCGGTACAAAAGCACAGACAAAGCAAAGTATCTTGTAAGGTGCCCTCAACTTTTAAAAAATAAAAGAAATCACCCTGTGACAGCTAATGTAGAAGTTGAAGAAAGCGCTAGGAAAATCCAGCAAGTCCTAGAATTGCATCAACTGCACACAAGGTGTTACAAAGATCACCCATGTACCATCTAGCATTCATTTACCGTATACTTTCCCTTTCTGCAACAATCTTATCCCGCTCTTGAAAGGCCCAATCTCTCCTACACTTGGCTACTTCTGCTTCCTGGACAGCTTCCTTTAGTTCTTGTGACATTGCCTCATATTGTTTCCGAAGCATTTCAATTTCTTTGTTTGCTCTTTCTATGTCTAGGGTAGCAGAATCTTGTATCTAGGAATTAAGAAACATAGGTAAGTATTTTACGCACAATTTTTAGGTGTTTTACTGTATGTGTGTTGCCTGATGTATTCCATTCTCACATTTTCCATGAAAAACGTTCATTTATCTTAGTGGCAACTTTGGGGAAAAAAAAAAAAGATAAAAACTGCTGTAACATATTTCATTCAGTGGCACACAAATTTGTGCGAATACAATCTACATGAATAAGAATCCTTCAAAATAACATCAGTGAACATTTTGTATTTCAGAGATGACATTCCACGCTTCTATCTTGTTCTGCTTAGCAGACAGAAAAAAACTTCAAGGATATTTAGAAATCAGATACACCATGATACGCAGTTACAACACAGATTTCCAGCATTAACGTTTGTTATTTGCCCTGGCACAACTACACACACATGTTCACAAAACAGACTTGTGATTCACACAGGTCCTTTAACTCCAAAGCAGAGCAACAGAATTCCAGAAAAGTTTTGTTGGAATGTTTCTTGGTTTAGGTAAGAATTACTTTCTGCTTAAATTAACTTGTTCTGCTAACATTCTCTATTTTGAACAAGAGAGACGGTGACAAGAATAAGACAAATACATAAAGAATACTCGAAGCTTGCAGCACAATAAATACAAGACAACTACAACAGTACAGCCCACCACAAGCACTGAAGGCCATGGGCTTGCAAACAACTGTGTGTGATTAATTTCAAGAATATAAATAAATCTAATGAATCTGACTAGATGTGTAATTTGATTCAAGATTAAACTTTGGAGGAATGTTTTTAAGACCTGAATGCATGACCATGAATCAAAGAGAGACTACTAAGTCATGATTAATACACTTTAAAGCCTCTTTTTTTCTCTGAGTTATAATCATATTCAAAAAGAAGAGAGCACTGAACCTTAAACCCCAGGTTTACATTCTCACCTCAACATTAAAAAATAAAACGTTGCAACAAATAAGGCCAAATAGAGGCCATGAAGAATCATGTCTGGCCTTTTGATTGTCTCTTTCATTTCCAAGGATTACTTTCTTCTCTTCCACTCCACTGGCAGGAAAAATACAATCAAAAAACCCACTCAGACCAACAAATGGACCTTTATATTTAAAATGTCAATTCTGATTTGGAGATGACCAAAGGTGAGCATCTGAGCGGGTCCATTGCTAAGTCACAGCAAAGTTCACCCAAACTTCCTTGAGAAAAACAAAAGTTTCCAAATTCCCATTGGTTTGGCCATGAAAAACCAAACATAATCAAAGATTTATTTCCAGTACAACTGAAACCATAGTTTAATCGCTACCCCACACACTCATTCAGGATTGGCAAATCAGTATGACAGGCAAGACTATAAACTTGTTTTGTACTGGTAAAAGTGTTGGTATTCAATGAAAAGAGAATACAAGTTTAGTGAAAACAATCCAAAATATCTAGTTTAATATTAAATAATTTCATATTTGCTATTTATTTCATGAGCATAACAGTTGTGATACTATGCATTTTTGTACTACATTATATGTAAGCATTTACAGTTGTATGTAGAATGATATTTGGTATTGCACACAAGATGACCATTGGTAAGTGTGCACAATTGTAAGAATGTTACTACCCACAGAGAGACATAAATTGTCAGAATAGCATATTTATACTAAGAACGTGTATAGATTAGAAAAATTTACAATCACACTTCAATTAACTTCCTTTTTTGAAGTATTAGAAATAGCTAACATCCTGAGCCGGTCACAGGGATGAACAACACACATTATAGATGGCAACAAGCCACCACAATATTTTATTTGCCATTTATTTTTTTACAAACAGAAACTTAATATGAAGCATGACTGTATTTCTTTCGAACAAGAAGTTCTGTCACTACGTCTTGAAGAACGTATGTGTGTTTATATGTAGGTATTTTAGAGTGACTTGGGGAAAAGAGGGAAGACATCCAATCTGCTCAGACCTTTAACTAATCTCTTGAAAATTACTGACCCATTGAAGCTAAGAAAGAAAAAGGCATCTGTGAAGACTTGCAATACCTGACGGGCTTGATAATATTCCCTTAGTAGATGGTCTCTCTGGATGATAGCTTCTGTTCTCTCTTTCCTGGCAACATCTCTTTCTTCCTTCACTGTCTCTATATCCTTGCAAGCTTGGTCAAGTTCCTTCTGGGCCTCAGCTTTGTCCTTCACTTCATGACAGTATTTTTCCAGCAACTCATTCCTCTCACAAATTGCTCGATCTCTTTCCACTAGAGCTGAGTTTAGCTCCTAAAACAAGATCGTTTGCAGTAGGTTAAGTACAGAAGGAAATAATTCATCTTTCCAACTGGATACACACTGACACCTTAAAAGCCTAGAGAGTTTACCACTAATATTCTGAAAAATCGTAGCAGAACAGGACTGTACTCACATTACATACAAGTAAGTACTAGTAAAGAATATTAAATTTGGTATTACACATATCATACCATCACATTAGCACAGTGCTATGTCAAAAGTAAGCAAGAATCTGGGAGCATTCACAGTTTTGAGGAACCTAAATGAGGGAAAGTTCTTAACCAGTCAGACTTGGTAGTTTAAAAAGGCTTTAAATATAGCAAAGGGTAAGAATATATATTGCAAATATTTTTAAGCAACTACCTTGATTTTTATAGGACTGAAATAATTCAGACAACCCAGCTACATAAGTATCTTAGAGCTTCCTCATAAGTTTTAAAGGGACATTGAAGTCATATGCCAGTAAGACACCAATGTGCAAAGATAAAACTACAGTATGCCATAAAGCAGAATGAAAGCACATCTTATTAAATGTGGAATTCAACTGCATCATAATAAAAAAAATGAGGTAAATGTAGCTTTAAAATACAATCTGTCCTTTTAAAATCGTTTAGACTTCCTATTGGAAAAATGAGGCATTGTAACAGTTGAATTTCATGCCACTAAATTTTAAGGAGGTGCAGCTCTCTAGAAGCATTCAGCCAATGGCTACAAAGAAGTCCTTCTACATATAGGCACTCCCAGCTGAAAACTATTGATGTTTTGATCTCAAAAAGATTACCAGAGAGAGCTGACATCTCAAAAGCAAAAGAAGAAAAGGGTCTAAATACTTAAGGACAGAAAGACATCATGGCATAAACTGACTTCCCTTTTATTTTCCTCTACAGTTTCCAAGGAATAAGATTGAGTATTTAAAGCATGGGTGACAACTGCATTTTGCTTTACTAACATAATTGTTTTTGAGATATGGCATCTAATTAAGGCTAGTCAGGCTTTTCTGCGACAATATCAAAAGCAGTATTGTTGCTGTAGAGTAACAGACAAGCACTAGAATTAATGACTCACTCTGAACTTTAAACATATCAGTGAATGTCAATTACCCGAGCACTCAAGTTTTTTCAACATCAGGAAGAGCTTCCGTTGCTCAGTACCTCTGAAGAGAGAAATCCCTGACCCATCTGGCACTGCAAACTAATTTTAGTACTGGAAGCAATGTTTTGCACAGCTTAACTATAGACTGTATGAAATGCTCAAATGCATGTATAAAACTTACACAAAAACATTAAGTCTTTTCCCGCATGCAGCTGAGATGAAAGTCATCAAGTATGAAGGCAGAGGGAAAGTTCTCAGCAAGCCCTTCATTAAACAAGAATTTACAGTACTTTAAGGTGATAGGAAAAAATACATATTGTCACAGTTTATTCCAGCATGCTCAATATAAACTATCTGAATAAGAACAGCCATTGCCTCCAGTGGTCAGTCGTAAAATTTCACCTCTGTCTTTTTCCTGTTACATTTGCACAAAATTACAACACTATAGCACAGGGCAATGTGCCATTTGGCACTGACTAGAGCAGCTTTTGTCTGGAAACATTAGAGCGGCTTGGTTTAAGAACAATCCTGAATTTGTGAAGAATTCTTATGTTTGAAGGAAGTTCTTGCATCAGAATATAGTGCAATAAGGATAAAATACAGGATAAAATACAACAGGTCTATTAAACAGAGGGGAAAGCTGACTACCACTGAGATGAAACAAGACATTCTAAGTATTTGCTGGAGCAAAAGATTATGCCAAAACCAAACACCACTGGGGAAAGTAGAGGGGGAAATCTATAACATCTAATCCCTAGCTTTGAGTGGCCAAACTCATAAAACCTTAATCCAAAACTGTCCACAGCACAAAATCCTGAGATTTCTTCTATTATCTCTATAAAAGCCAGACAATTAGTACATTTTGGATGTAAATTAACCCATTATGTTTGGGCATATGTGACCAATAAAGCTTAAATACCCAACTAGAACATTGACTGACTGACCTCATCAGTAACTGCTCACATTATAATGCTTAAAAATCAATGTCTTCTCCATTTTAGTTGCTTTTGCGTTTCTTTGGGACAGAAGAGGTACACTAGCAAACACAAGCTTCAGGGAAGAAACTACATTTTAAATAACCTAAATGGATTCAGTGCTGTTTCAATCAGTCAATGGGCGCTATGTAATAAGGCACTTAAAGCTGCTGTACATCAAAAGGAAAGCGAAGACCATTAAGTAATATTTTGGCAAGCACCAGACCAAGTATTCACTGACAGGATTAATCCCACTTACGCAGGAGCACCTTTCAGGATACTATTTCAAGTGAACATATCACTTGATCAATAAATTTTTTCAATGTTTCAAACATTGGCCTTGCCAGAAGTAGAAAATCCCTTATGCACTGAATGCAGCTGCAGCGAGCCAGTACTATGTGACACAGGAACATACCTACTCACCAGCAGAAGAGTCATAGCTACAAGAAAAGAAAACAGGAACAAAAAGAAAACTCACAGTACTGCTATTTTACACCTTTTAGTACATTATAGAAGCAGTTACTTCTGCTTTCTGATGGGCCATTTCTGGGGGTGAAGAAAAATGCATGTCTGCGCCCTGCCAGCATCTCACTCACCAGTCCTAGGCTCTTTCTGGTTCTTATTCAAACACCCGTTCAAGTCATCTAGGTAGGAGGGAATATCCACGTATTTAAAATTTTAATTTCCTGCCCCTTAAAGCACTTTGGCAAATTACTCATAGTGCCACAATGACAGATACAACAAATTGGAGCAGAACAACTAATTTTGGCTGCTTCCATCAGTATTCCTTATTAGCTACCTACCCCGATTCCACTGAAATCAACAGATAATTCTATTGGCTTAATGGCTTTGATGAAAGTAGAATGGGTATGAAACATGTATTAAAACCTCACTCACTGTAGAAGCTAAATTACTTAGCTGACAAATACGCAGCGTTGAAAACTGTGAATTTTTAAAACCAAAGTTAGTTATTTTTAAAAGCCCCGATGCTGTATGTCACAATCCACATTATGTCCCTCAACAACGGTGTTATTTAAAAAAAAGCTCCACACTTTAATTTTTCATAAAGGGCATTTTGTTCAGATGTAATGCTGTGAAAAAAGTAAAATGAGATTTATAGGCAATGCAATATGTTTGCTTGTATCTATTTCATGCTAAATTAAGTATTTTTAAACCAAAGGGTCAAGTGAATGCATGTCAGCTGAAATGAAACCAAGCAGCAAATTGTGTTTTGGAAACCTTAACAGCATCATTATAACATGGTTGTGGTATAAGCATTTCAAGAACATATTGCTGAAAAATACAAAGTTCTGGTTTCACACACTTTAAGGCATGCCTGAGTTGTACTGAAAAATCTTCAAAATATCCTCTTTAACTTAAAGGCAGAAGGAGGGCAAATGAGTAAGAACATGCATGTCAGCACAGGCTTTGCATAAATGTTTGAGACTACTTTATCATGTACCGTCTTATGTCATAGTAGATAGTATCCAGTGGTTCCTGTAGAGGTTAGAAGTTAAAAATAATGAATATTTTAGAGCGATATTGCTACAGAGAGCATTACTTGAGAAGGCATAGAAAACTAATGCAGTAAAGGAAAGATTTATAATCTGCAGAACAGAATTAAGTCAAGTGAATAGCAAATTTCAATTTTTCAAACAGGGAAACTTAATAAATTGATAGTATAAAGGACTGCTATAGGAAAACATCAGCACAGAATTTCCTCTTTGCAGTGCATTCCTGTTTTCCATTAATCAGTCATACATTTCTGATTCTAGCATCAACAATGTATACTCATTTCCCTTCCCCACCAAAACAATAGGTTAGTACCTGTCTTAGCGCTTCCATCTCCTCACTAGCCACTCGCTTCTCAGAAGAAGTGTTCTTCAGTTTGGACTCTGCAAGCTCCAGCTCTGTTTGAAGCTTATCTACCTCTTTGATTACTTGATCTCTCTCACTCATTATGAGGCGATATTCATTGAAAACTGAATCCCTTTCTTCCTTGTATTTTTCTGCATCCTTTGCTGCTTTCAGCTGCATTGTTTTGAACCTTGTAACCTCCGACTGTAATCGTTCCATCTCTCTCTGCAACTCTTTGTTTTGTGCTGTGGTGTTGCTTAGTTCCTGCTGTACTGATTCAAATCTAAAACCAAGCAGAAACGCCAGTAAGATACTTGTTCCTCATTTTCCTTTTTCATACATTAAGGATTTAGCTGGATAACCAAATGTATCCATTGGTAAAACACAACCACAGAGGACTTCTTAGACAATGTACAATCAGTGCGGCAATATAAAAGTTAGTCTAATTATTGCTTTAGGAATATTAGTGAACCTTCAGGAATATTAGAGAACCTCTTTAAGGAATTGAAACATAAAAATTATTAGAAATAATTTAGAATTAGTTTCATTATTAAAAGTAAATTTCTAACAAATTATTCTAAGAGTAATGCAAAACATTACCGTTATTTAGTAGCACAAGTTTAACTGTATTTACTGCGCTGAGCTCTGCTCATCTTAGAAGTTAAATCCTTCTCCCAGCACATGCTTTCAGGCATGTGGGAAGAAGGGAGACAAATGCAGAAATTAGAAAAAACAGAACAACTTCCACATGCCCAAATATGCCATAAGGTTGGTAATGGATAGGTTAGAGGAGAAAAAAATCCTGGGTTTACAGTAAAAATGCAGACAATGGAACTAAAACCAGGTAATTCAAACGCTACTGTTTGTTTTCATCAGTAGGTCATCCAGTAAAAGTGAAATGCAAAATATCTTAATATTTTTAAAATTTACTTTTGACCATTGACACAGACAAAAATGTATGTATTTTATCACTACAACCTACTGAAGTATGGTGCAATCAAAAAAAGGACATAAAAAGTTTAATTTAATTTGTAAGTAGTTACTTCTGTGTTTATATTGACAAAGCATTCTTAAAAGTGGGAATATGATTCCACACACAAGTTCACAATTAGGTTTGAAAAGGAACTTCTCCTAAGAAGTGTTTTATCACAGTCAGACACTAAGATTTCCTTGCATGTTTTTTCCAAAACTCACAGGTAAATGCCATTGATGTAAACACTGTACCTAACTTGATGGACTTTTACGGTTATCCAAATTTCACGTGCCCACAAACCTCTGGCAGACTTTGTTCTCTCTCTCTCACACACACCTCTCACTGTTTAAAAGTGCAATTTCTTGTCTAATCCAGCATGTTGCCTGACCTTTCCCGAGAGAAAGCTGTAAACCCAATTTCAAATACTTCCTTAAAAGCCTCAGTGTATTCAAAGCATTGCCATAGCTTTACTGAGGCATCTGCCAGTAATTTCAAAACCATCACCCTGCTCCTTTTGGGAAATTCTTCAGTTTAAGAGATCATCGGGTTGGCACTACAAAAGACGTAACATATTACAGACGGGATTTATTTTTTTCTTTTCAGAACTGTGAGCGTGAAGGTAAGAAGAATATACCATAGGAGAAGTACCAGGATGTATCAGAAATCTAAGAGACCTCATCGTCATGTGAGAACCCACAGTACATATGCAAACTATTTGGTGGTAAAATCAAGGACAACACTGGGAGGATACAGGGGACAGGGGAGGAGAAAAGATTTAACACAATGTTTGCCAAGCAAAAAAAATATCATCAGTAAGGAAGAAAAAAAAAACACAAAGGAAAAAAATAATGAAACAATCAACAACACAACCAAACCACAAGCAGCATACTAGCATGGGAAAGCAATCAGAGGAAGAAAGTCTCTGCCACAGGAAGACGTTCATATTAAATAGTGATAACTGAGGAAACCCGAAAGCAAAGTTCCAGCTGAAACACCTTGGCCTTGCTTGACCTTGTATTGCCTCCTATGGAGGAAATACAGGCAGCTGGATCACATTTTCAGATGCCTTCTGTAGAGAAAGCCCATTTCTAACAACTGTTGTGAATGGGTTGCAAGGGTCAGTAGCAGTAAGTATGGGTTTACAAGGAGCAACCAATACTGAAAAGAACCCTTACAAGGACTACCTGCTTTGTCTTCAGTGCAATTGCAAACTACAGGCAGATCTGTCCGAGTGCCATGGCCCACATTCAAAATGCAGAGGCACATGTGTTAGGGTAAGGTTTAGCGCACGGGAATTAGATGCTGGTATAGCTAATTTGGAAGCTGCAAACTATTCACCAATTAAATCATCTCAGTAGCATTCATATGCTGTGTATTATTGTGACGACATTACAGATAAAAGAAAAAAGGCGAAACACTTCTCTGATATTTTTTACGGCCAAGGATTAATTCAAAATGAGACCTGGGTCATCACTGGAGCACTCTGCTCTCTCTAAAACCTATTTCGACTGTGCTTACGCTTGGTATTAATTTAAAAATTAGTGCTGCAATTTAAGACCCATTAATCTTCAAACTACAAGTTTAAGTCTTATGTTCTGAGAAGTACACACACCTGAAATGCATTTTAAAAAATTTTCATCAGTCACCCAGAGAAATATGGGTTTTGTTATGAAGAAAGGGTATAAACATATGACAAATAAAGGTTTCTATAAATACAAACAAGTAAAAAAGAAGTCCAGACCCAAAGCCAACTGAATAAAATGCAAAAATTCCTGACATTCAGTTATATGAATTTAGTTGGATCACTGGTCCACAGGAACATGAACACCTTTCATGAAATTCTCAAAACCAACTGTATTGGGTCTGCATGGCAAGGTTTTGGTAGCTGGGGGGCTAACAGGAGTGGCTTCAGTGAGAAGCCGCTAGAAGCTTCCCCTGTGTCCGATAGAGCCAATGCCAGCCAGCTCCAAGACAGATCCACCGCTGGCCAAGGCCGAGCCCATCAGCGTTGGTGGTAGTGCCTCTGGGATAACAGATTTAAGAAGAGAAAAAAGTTGCTGGGGCACAGAAACTGCAGCCGGAGAGAGGAGTGAGAAGATGTGAGAGAAACAACTCTGCAGACACCCAGGTCAGTGAAGAAGGAGGAGGAGGAGGTGTTCCAGGCACCAGAGCAGAGATTTCCCCCGCAGTCCATGGAGAAGACCATGGTGAGGCAGGCTGTCCCCCTGCAGCCCAGGGAGGTCCACAGTGGAGCAGATATCCACCTGCAGCCCGTGGAGGACCCCATGCCGGTGCAGGTGGATGCCCAAAGGAGGCTGTGACCCTGTGGGAAGCCAGCACTGGAGCAGGCTCCCGGCAGGACCTGCGGCCCCGTGGAGAGAGGAGCCCACACTGGAGCAGGTTTTCTGGCAGGGCTTGTGACCCTGCGGGGGACCCACGCTGGAGCAGTGTGCTCCTGAAGGACTGCAGCCCATGGAAGGGACACACGCTGGAGCAGTTCGTGATGGACTGCAGCCTGTGGGAAGGGCCCATGTTGGAGAAGTTCATGGAGAGTAACTGTCTCCCATGGGAGGGACCCCATGCTGGAGCAGGGAAAGAGTGATGAGTCCTGCCCCTGAGGAGGAAGGAGCGGCAGAGACAACGTGTGATGAACTGACTGCAACCCCCATTCCCCGTTCCCCTGCACTGCTGGTGGGGAGGAGGTAGAGAATTCGGGAGTGAAGCTGTGCCTGGGAAGAAGGGAGGAGTGGGGGGAAGGTGCTTGTAAGATTTGGTTTCATTTCTTATTATCCTACTCTGATTTGATTGGTAATAAACTAAATTAATTTCCCCAAGTTGAGTCTGTTTTGCCTGTGACAGTAATTGGCGAGTGATCTCTCCCTATCCCTATCTCAACCCACAAGCTTTTTGTTACATTTCCTCTCCCCTGTCCAGCTGAGCAGGGGAGTGACAGAGCAGCTTTGGTGGGCACCTGGCATCCAGCCAGGGTCAACCCACCATACCAACCTCTGCTCAGCATCAAACCACACCTTCTCAAGAAGGAGACCTAAATCACAAGACCATAAAACAAATATGTTGAGCTTCTACATGTATCAGCATGGTTGCAGTGTTTCTTGGAGTATACGTTAGGCCTTTCCTCACTTTCAGGAATCCATGGCAGTTTAAATTACATAACTAATTCTCTTATTACTCATATTCTCCTATAACTTAATCAGATTTATCACAACTATGCACATGCTATTCACGAGTACATTATTATCTATGCTCAATCTCACCTTTTTGAAATACTAAAAGTCTATGAATGTGGAAAAAACCCTATTTTTTTAGCTTTGGTCTGTGGGAGTTGTATATTAGCCCTAACTTATGTCAGTGAAAACATTCTCAACACGCCCGCAGATGCTCTTTGGAGCCCTTCTTCCTACCCTGTATGTGTAACTGTGTATGCTTAATATCACAAAGGAAAGGAGAGATGTTAAGTGTGGTGTGACATAGTGTCTGTGCCCTTCTGTTTTGGCACTTGTGCTGCTCATAGCAGCAGCGCTTTCTCAGTGAAGCAAGACTCTCAGACGCCTGCATCCAGTGAATTCTGCTGCCAGCCCAAAGCTCTGTCTCAGAGTCCCACACAGTCTGCAATTCTAATATCATGAAAACTTAACTTATGCTTGAGAACGTTTTCATTTGCTAAATACCATTTAGAAAATGCAACCTCTTACTGACTTGGTTTTTTATATTTAAATAAAATTATATATGTTGATGGGCTCACCACCCATTGAGGAGTTCGTTTGGAACACAAAGTCTGAGGTTTAACAAAACTTTGTTTGTATTTGACTCCTGTGTCTACGACTAAGAAGAAACACAGCTTGAAAGGCAGAATATCCCTTTCTCACATGAGCTAAACAATGGTTAAAATTCCTCATACAATTCCAAAACCCTAACTGGGAAATCCTTTTCTCAAGAAAAAGCACCGTTTCCCCAAATAAACATCCCCATCACACCTTTTAGAACCTTCCAGAAAATCTTATATAGAAATGCATGCTTACTCACCGCACCAAGATAACACATACACTGGAGAAAAAACTTTAGGAAAAAAGTCAGAAAATTATTTGCGATTCTACCACAGAGAAAATAAGAGGCTGCATTAGAATAGTTACTGCCTTCACAGAATACCTGAAAGGTATCAAAACTTGATTATACCTTCTAAGAGAGGATGAATATTGCTGCTGAAAATGTATTGCTGTGTCCCTTTGCTTCATTAACATGTCAATCTGTTTCTGAAGACGTCTGTTCTCCTCCTCAGCCTGTTCTAGGCGGCTCAGATCCGTATTGTGACTTGCAATCTTCTCATTGTACCGTTTCCTTAGGGCATCATAATCCTTCTTCACACCCTCTAACTTGTCCATTGCTGTGTCATAAAGTTTATTTAATATCTCTGATGATCCATTTTGCTTCATAACCTAAAAAAATGCCAGAAACTGTATTAATAAATTCAGTTTTTAATCAGTTCAATAAATTGGATTTAAAATATATATAAGAAACCGTATCAGAACAAACATATATTAACTAATTTTAATAATCATTCTTTTTAATGACTAAGGAAACACTAAGCCACTTCTAAGCATTATTGTTAGTCTAAGCATTACATCTGCTTAATGTTAACCGAGTAAAAAAATATGCTTTACCACAACTTGGAGTGCGCAAGTTTATGAAAAACTCTCCCTAATGATAACTGCTACCAACAGCTATTAAACCTATGGGTTTTTTTAAATACTTTGTAGTTTTAGCAAGAGGTAATCGTTATTTGATGACCAAGATGATAGCAGTAATTTAGGAAATGACCACGAGGTGGCATTCGTGACAGGTTGCCTGTATCCTCCGCGAACAAATTAAATAATTTAAAACTTCAAGAGAATAAAATCGACCCTAAATATGTTAGAAATGCAGGCATGTTATTTTAATATTCATACAATATTTCATCTAAAAACTACCCACAGAGGTTTGTATTTCAAAAGCTATCCTTAAAATATGAACAGCAAGAGAAAAATCCATTTTAACATGAATGAAGTCTGACCTGAATCTTAGTTTCAAATTAATTTCCATCGACATAAGAATCTTCTTGTAAATAGCAACGTTGATGATAAATGACCAGCAACAACAGAAAGCCCCTAATGAGCTTCAGTAAATCTAGTCGTCCTTCTTTCTCAAAAGGCAAAGAAATGTGCCTGAAACGAGGCCTTACCTCCCCCCCTGCTTTTTTTTTAATGCTATGCTCATTTTTTTCTGTTTTTGTCTTTTAAATTGAAATTTGGCCTTGATGGAGCAGTGGGAGGAAACAGGAATGCCCTATATAGAGGGGTGCCAGGAATTTGTATAACCTTAACATTAGCCTACAAAGGCACATCCCTAACTACCTGAAAAGAAAAAGTATTAAAAAATTAGAAGGAAAAAAAAAGAGAGAAAACATGAGCTCTACAAAAAGCTGAAACCAAACATGTAGCAACTACCCTACATGCACAAATTGGCTCCTCATCTTCTTTTGTGTCTTATATTCAGAGTAAGGATCAGTTCCCGAACATGGAAGAACCTGGATGCCTGCAGACCAAAAGGAAAGGAGACTGAAACGAGACTGAGTGCTCTTTGCCCACTACTCACTGCCCATAGGTAGCGGATAACAACCATCACTGTCAGGAAAACACTTCTCTCCACAGTCAAGCCTCACACTGGTCTCCTTTAACTAAGGCATATGTAAAGTGTAAATACATATTGATTTAAACCCACTCAAGAGAGCTGTTTTCCTGAAGACTACTTCCCAAAGCATTTTGAGAACAGGTTTGAGAACCAAGTATTTAAGAATCCAAACAGAAACAAACCACTTCTCACTGTCTAAAGCATATACAGAATGTCTTTTTGCTAAAAACACACTAAATAATCAAGGAAAAGAAGGATGAATATACTAGAAACTGGATGGAATTCAGCATAAACTTGCTAACAGAGATTTGATAGAGGAGAAACGCCATAAACAGGAAGCAGTGTAATGAGGAAGGTGTCCCATTCAAAATCCCAGTCTGAGAAAAAGTAAATAGTCCCAGCTGGACCAAGGAAGACAGCCATGGCAACAAGAAACTTCATACGTGAGCAGCAGAAACTTAAGCTGGTCAGCTGCTACACAGCAAATCCATGACAATCCCACACAAAGAGTAACCCGATCAAAAGTTTTTGCTCTCTGAGGCCACCATGATGTGTTTTGCTACAGCCTGACAACGAAACAACACGTCAGAGGGATCGACACAGAGTTAGACTAATTCAGATGAGAAATGACACAGACAAGATAAGACTCTTGGCGCCCCTTCAAGACACCATGATTCACTCTGACATGCTGAGAAATGGAGTTACACAACTTTCTCACCAAGAGTCACATACATAGTCGTCTTTAAAGGTTTAATCATGATGTTGACATGAGACTCAATTTCTTAATTAAATACTGACAATGATACTTTAGCTTCCTTTTGTGCTGCCAAATAATTTCAAACTTTACGACAGAACCTCAAAATACAATAGCCTTCTCTCGGAGTCTGCTTTGCAGACTGGGAAACTGAGGCACAGAACAATTACGCGATTTGCCGAGATTTACACAGCAAACCATTTCTGCTATCCTCTGAGCCAAGCCACTAAACCATTTCACAGCAGAACTCTCAAGACAGTGTTAGAGGAAGGGATCAAAAGGAAATACAAATCTTCACTCCTTTTTGCACAAGCCCTCAAGCACCTGTTGAAGCACCATTCAGCACATCCAGCTTGCTTTGACCTTTGCCCCCCCTACCCTAGCAAATAATTATTTTTGTTTGCATAGGTTTTGCTTCTGAAGCCTAATGTTTGAATTGCAAGTTTGCCCCCGTGAATCAACCTACACACAGTTAACCAAGATACTCTGTTTAACCATTCCACAGGTTACTGTAACTATTCTAACTAAATGATCAGACTTTTCCATAGGTGAACCACTGACCCGATACAAACAGTTGCTCCTTACTATTACTCTCTTCTTTCTTCAGACTGTGTGAACAATGTTGGCCTGGAGACAGCCTGTTACACATAGTTCTGAAACATTCACCTCTTCCAGTCCTGAAAAGCTTGTCTTTTTTTTGTTTCAAGTTCAAAAACATTAATCAGCTGTAGCTTTGTTCTAACTGAATAGCATCTGCAAACCTAAATAACCAAACTTAGCTCAGTCAGTCCCCTAACATTTATGGTGTCAATAGAACAATTTAAAAAAAAAAAAAACCAAACAAAAACAAAACAACCCCAACAAGACACACATACCACGAAAACCAAACAAAACCCCCACAAACCCATCTCTGTCACTTTTTAAAATTGTGATTCTTTCCAAAAAAACAAACATAGCATGTAAGTTTAAAGTTAGTCCTGTCCCATAAAACAGCTGTCTTTTTAATCACTTTGCAACTTCAAGCTAGGTTTTCGATGCCTCTCCACCTACTTAAAAAAAAAATATCATACATATACAATCTTCCTCATGTACATTTTTTTCACCTCTGCATCAAAATTTCTTAATACCACCTAATATTCTATATCCCTCATTATTCTTTCCAGCTAGACACAGAAAATCAATCAGTATCCAAAAATCTCATTTTCTCCCCTAGTGCTATAAAGTGTACAGCGGATGTTTTAGAATCAGTAAGACATAAAAGGCAGCAACGCTGCACATTCAGTTTTATAGACTTACTTACCAAAACAACAATTCATGATCTCTTCCAGCACGTACACTACAAGCTGTAGCTTACCTGCTGCTGCTGGCTGCGCAGGTCCGTTATCTCTTTCTGATCCTCATCGTGAAGCCTCTTCATTTCCTCACACGACTGCTGGAGATGATTATGTTCTCGCACCAACTGCGTATTTTTCCTCTTCAAGGTATCCATGTCCTCCTTCAGCTGTGACTGGTCACTCAGCAGCCGACTGTGCAACGTGCTGTCACGGCACACAGAAAATTCTCTTAGAGGCTAACTTGCAAGGACAAAGTCCTGGACTAATTCATTTCAAGCATGAGTTTCCTACCAAGAAAGCAGGTCAAACCAATTCAATTCTGCGTATTTGAGTATTCTAAACACCAGGAAAAAAAAAATCAGACCAATCAGGAACATAAGTATGAAAATATGGGAAAGTACACAGTACTCTTAAAACGTATCAGAAGACATGACGGATTTATGCCACCCATCAATGCCATTTCATAGCAAGCAGAGAGACAGAAATGGTGTAATGTGAGCATAAGGTGATCCTGGAGATAATAGGAATTATCCCACTAATCACCTCCACTTTCTCTTGGGCCCCTCAGCTGAGCAGCAGCTAACCAAAATACAGATGAAAACTACAAAAAAAAAATCTCCTTCTACACTATTGTTTTAAAAACAAACAAATACAAAACCCCAAACAAACAAAAATACTCCACAACTAAAACACACTATGTATGTTTCAACTACATTCAAGCAGGTAAAAAGCTATCAAAGTTACTCCAAACTTTGGTATGCAAGCCATAATTACTGAAAGAAATACACTCCCACTTAAAAATTAACAACTGAGAGCCACATGAGGAGGCTATCATTCAGATCATGATTCAAGGTAGCAGCCCAAAATTAGACCAGACCACTGCCAAAAAAGAGCAGAAACATCAATTGATTATATTTTACTACTGCAAATCAAATAAAAAGTGACATCTGGATACTGACAAGTATTTTTGTTGTTGAAACAGAATGATTCAAACTGAACTTTCACACCTGCTGGTAAAATGTTCAAAGTCCATTTTTATTTAAAAAACAAACAAACAAACAAACCAAAAAAACCCCAAAACCCATAACACGCAGCAACGAATAGAACCAATTCACATTTTAAGATACTTTGTATTCCTTCCTTATGAAGTGAAATACCAGCATTTACTGTACAGAATGACCCAAAGCATTAAAATGGAAATTAGAACAACCTGCTAAAAAAAACCAAACCAAAACAAAAAAAACTGACAAATTATATTCACACAATTAAACACACATAATCTTTACATGTAGGTAATTAATCTGCCTTTTTTTAATTATTATTTTAAACATGGGCGTTTAAGAATTACTGCAGGAGAAAATAACATTTGAATAACATATTCTACTCAATTCCTTTCTTTACCCTAAGAATTACTCATAGGATGAACAGGAATCACATGCATGGATTTCAACATGTGTTGTCATATTTTGGGCACCTAAACTCCAACAGTGAGTTTCAGCCTCTCTGAAGCTTTAAGTAGGAAACTGAATTATTCAAATCCAAGTAAATAAGTTCTTATAATAAAAAGAATTACCTCTGAATCAATCCAAATTTGCTATACTTTCTTCTGACCAGATTATCTTAGTCTGTAGTAAATATAAATGCAAAAGCTTGTACTTGTATATATGCATCATTTTGCAGAAGCCTAAATTGTTGGTCTCTGAGGAATGTGCCTATATTTGTGGCATACTTGAGTATTTCAATCACTCATTCTATCTTTTAGAACTGAAGAGTTTTTCTCCTGTTATGAGAGGGTAAATCCTTTTATACTATCACGGAAATACTGAAATAAACAGTGTTAACACAGTATGGTTTCAGGGACTACAGAACTTCTAAATAAGGTGAGCAAACCACTCATTTTTTAGGATAAAGAATACAAGTGTTTCATGTCAGCATTGGATGGACACAGGTAACTCAGCTTTGAAAAGAATCCATCTACAACGTACAGTACACTAATGCTTTGCACAAAATTCACTAGCAAATTAAAATACTCAAAAATCCTCAAATAAAACTAGGAATAAAGCTCTTCGTAAAGAAGCCACATGACTCGCTACATCTGCACCTGTCGAAAACCTTTAATACTATTTTCAGGTTTTAGAAAAAGAACATAGGGAAACGATGCCTATCTTTAAAGGCTTGAAGAGTTGTGGGTGAAAGTGCTATGTAAGAACTAGCAGCCCCCAATGAAAACAAATGCTGTCATTAAATACTAGTCATACATTACAGTATAGATTTAAGTGAAGTAAACTTCAAACCGAGAATTTATCTGCATTTCTATTTCTGAGCTGTCATCTTTTCAAGTGAAGAGAACATGTTCCTACTTGCATCAACAACTGATTTTTAAACAGAAATACAAGCTAGAAATATTCACCATTTTCCCCGTGTTATTGCATTTTCATAAACGCTCACAATTGGTCTAAACCTGTGTTAAAACTTACACAAATTGGCATGAGAGCTATCACAACCTATTAAAAATGAGTAAGAAATTACATTCTCTCAAATTACATTCTGCTCTCCAGTCTGACAGTAAGACTACTGGATTGTAATTGCAAGTCAGTAACTAGGCTTTACTTGTCAGTGTCCCATCAAGACAAATTCCTGAAATTCCTCAAAGTAAAACAAGCAATCCATAATTTATCACTTCAAATATGCCAGAAACGTTTAATCAGATGCAGGCAAACATTAACCTTGCAATTAATGTGGAAAAACAGAATTAAAAAATTATTTGATTACCGTGTTCTAATACCTTATGATCTAGCACAGATTGGCAAACTCTTACCTTGTACAGTTTTACTAATACTTACTGATAAAAATCTGCCTCTTTTGCTGCTTCTTCACACCTTTTTAGTGTCTTGGTGTGTTGATTCTGCAGAGACTGTAGGTCTGACATGGCCTTCATGCACTGAATCTTCAGTCTTTCATAATCATGATTTGGTTTTGGACTAGGCCTAGCATGGAAAAAGAATATGAAGTCAAACATCTGCTACTAAAGAGAATGAAAAGTCTGGGAAATTACTATCCAATGAAAAAATAGTATCACACAACTGTTGATACTTAGGTTACATTATGCTTTAATTTAAATACTGACCACCTCACATTAAGATGCAACCACAAATAAAAATTCATTGACTTTAACCTGTATTAATTTTATACTGAGACATAACATCTAATAATGAGATAATTCTGTCTATCACTAACTGCCAAAAATAGTACTGAGCATGCATGTACCTTTCTTCTGAGCAGCAGTATTATCACAGAGCAGAACTGTCACTTGATACAAGAACAAGTCAATCACAGTATGCTCAGCTTTCCTGCGCTACCATGTCAAAACTCTCAAAGAAAAAGCACAGAGCTGCATTAAGAGTGCGGCTGAAAAGAAGCGGCCAAAGTCAGGTGAGGGGGGCATGGAGACCTGGGCTAGGAAAAACTTCTCATCTAGGCAGCAGCTAGAGGGTATTGCCTATAGCTCCCTAGGAAAATCAGGGTTAGCCTTCAGAGAAAGACTTCCAATGAGACACCAAACACATGCATCTGTGCTGGCAGAATTTGACCAGCGTGACTAATTAAGCACTGAATTTAAATAATTTGACCAAGTCATTCTGCTGAATTACATATCTGATTGAGTGTTACCATGTTCTTCTAAACTACTATAAATGAATGAGAAAACATGTCAGAATCTACTTCATACTTCTGTAAGATAACACAAATTTTATTCAAGTAATTATTAGGAATCTCCAATACAATATAATCTCCACTAAGCAACTTTCAGTAAGCTGAACAAAGTAAAAGCCCAAGTCAGTCAAAAGAAAATTTTTGATTGAATTTTTTTTTAGTATATCAGGATGATTGGGAGAGGAGAAATTTTCTAAAATAATCTACCTTGCCAAGCAATTGACCAACATCGATTATGTCTAGAGTGTGTGGTCCTTGCATATGATACCTTTCTTTATTAGAAAAATCATAAATCATGCTAGAAATAAAATTAGCAGGATTATGCCTACTTGTTTAGAAGCACTAAGCTTCTAAAAGAGACTCTAAATTGAACTGTTCCTCCTCTACATGGTCACAAGATTTTTGCACCATTAAATTTTCTAGTTTCAAAATGAAGCTTCTGACAGCTGTCCCTGTGTCATCTCCTGGGTCTCTTATAACTCCACAGGCAATGAAAAAAACCAAACAAACCCAACCCTAAAAGGAAACAATTGCTCTCTAATTTAACTCTGTTTATTCTTGTATCAGATTTGCTCCATCGCTGCACAGATCACCCTTTCTGCCTCCCACCTCACTCTCCCCCAAGCAGCTTCACTGTAAGTGCAGCCTGAAAAGCAACTAGAATTCTCTTTGCTTTCATACAAAAACAGCAACATGGATTCTGGAACTGAAATGCAGCTGGGAATTAAATCAAAAAGAAAAATAGTTTCACACTACTGCAGTGGTGAGAGTTGTTAAAAAGAAAAAAGAAAAAAATAAATGCCAGCTACCTCTGATTCACAGAGTTTTAGGGAGCGTGTGTATGATATGAAGGTGCTTTTTAGCAACCCAGTTGCACTTGGGTTGCTGAGTACTAAGGCCTTAAACTGTAATTCTTCTTTTTCTCCTTTCTCTAGAGAAGTACTCCTGGGGAAAACAAAACCAAAAAAAACCTTCCTTGACTGACAGACTTTAGCAACAATTAAAAGCCAAGTTCATATAAAGTAACCAAATATTCAAGTCACTTCCACAGGGATGTCTTTTAGGGTTGCCAAAAGAAGTAGTACGTTATTCATACAGTGTTACAGACATATTACCGCAACTACTGCAGTGTTATTTTTTAAAATACAACCCTAGTTAGCATAAGTAAAACTAAATTTGAAATGTTCACACCCTTGACAGAACCACTAAAAACTCAAGTATTGATTTAAATTAGACTTTAGGGTGAAATTATTGAAAGTAGATACCATCTGTCCACCACAGTCATTAAAATTACAACATTAACTGAAGCACAGTTTAACTCTCAATTGAAGCGTTAAGCTTACTAAGACCCATTAACACATGTTCACATTGAGCTTGTAATCATAAATTCATATTTGTGCAAAATATTTCAGTGTATGAATTTTTACTAAAGGAAAACTATTAGGTCAGTCTCAAAGCTATGATGAGAACTACAAGTCTAACATTAATCACATGTATTTCTTATATTGCTGAAGTAATACTAGCACTATTCTTAAAATAAATAAATAAAAAAAATCCTATAAACATATGGAAACCATGCAGGTAACTATAGAAGTTAGCCTTCCTACACAATGAGGAAGGAACAATGCCACCAGTAACATCCTGCATTCTAGCTCAGCTACATGAAATAAAACACACCTGGATAGCCAAGGCCATATGTTCAACAGCACTGTTCCAAGGGCTTATATCTCAGCAAGAAAAACAGGGATACGCACAGGAGGAATATTGGTCAGAAGTCAAAAATCAAAACTGTTGCAACAAAGCAGTCCATTCAAATGCGTGTAGTGGTTGACCCTTGCTTAAGTAAGACCACCATAGTTTCACACTAAAATGCCTCACAAAATACAGAAAACTATGATTTCATTGAAGGAGAGGCTTCAGTTACTATTTTGGAAGCATTGCTTCAAATGTTAACAAAATTTCAAATGCTAGTTTCAAAGGTCCAGCTGTTTTTCTGATATTCATATAACAACTCTAAAATTCCTTTATATTCCAGTGGAATTACCCTGAACATAAATCAAGGCCACAGTGAGACTGACATTTACACGTATCTGATGCTGACATAAAAGCTAATGCCAACAGCAGATCCAACTTTGTGGGCAATGCCTACCCAACAACTTGAAAATGTTATCATTTACTATTGCAATTCCACCACCACCACCTACAGCTTACACGTAAAACAGTCTTTTCAAAGGAAGTTTTCAGGGGTTTTACTTGTATTGCAGTTCTTTTCTACTACTACATAAGTAGTAAGAACAGCAAGTTTAAGTCTATAAAGTGCACCTTGAGCACACTGAATTATTTGGTCAAATCTTTGCTTAATCACAACACCACATCCATGCGTACAGTCACTGTCAAGTGACACAAGCACAGCATGAGCAATCCTAATCCTGTCCAGCAGGATGACACATGTTCATCTGATTCAGCACATCACAATCCACTTCTGTGGCTCCTCTTCCACTGCTCTAGACTTAGTCAACACTTGCTTTGGAAAACAGCTCTCAGTTTTGCAACTGCCAGCCTTCACAGCCAGCGCAGCCCAGCCTACAAATGTGTTGCGAGCTGCAACTGTTTTGAAGCACACAATCATGACATATCAAGATTTGCCTCTACACCACCTGTGTTTGGTATGGCCATGGTTAAAGCAGCATACACAGCCAGAAAAGCAAATGCCCTTTTTGGGTAGTAAAAGTCACCATCTAAATAATAATCTTTCAGCTTTCACACTTCACCGTAACAGTTTGCAATGTCTGGGCTTTGACTCCTGGAAGGCTGAAGATTAGTTTTATATGAGGAAAGAATGAAAAACAAAGTAAAAAAAAATACCAGCAAGCTTTCAAAAACCATAGATGTGTATGTGGATGGGAGGAGTAGTTGCTTTTACACTGGAGGAAAAAAATGTCAGCTAATAATCTTCATTCATTTCCCACTCTTCAAATATGTAATTGGAAGGCAGCATCCTCCATCTAACATATACTGTCCAAGCACTGCCCAAATACAATATTTATTTTGATGAGTTGTTCTTTAAGCTGTAAACATTTATATTTTCCACAACATACAAATCCTACACCAGCAGCAGAAGACTGATTTGACAATTAAAGAGAAAAAAACTAGGGCAGTCTAGAGGACAGCTCATCAGAACTTTATTAATAGCATCCTGGATTATGGAGGACATTATTGTAAGCTATAAAATCCTCAATGCCTAAGCTCTAGTGACTTCAAATAAGAAATCCCTCCGTATAAATAAGTAACTGGAAGCTTATCAAAAGATGTTGACACTTGACAACCTTTTCCTCTCCCATCCCCACAACGCTTGGAGACCCTTAGATAGAACACAAAGCTCTTAAAGTAGCCCTCAGAACTCATGGGGGGAAGAAAGGGGCATTAAGATGAATAGCTAAGGAGTGAATAAAATGCCCAGATTCTCTCAATTGCAGGACACTGGTTCATATCTTGACCTTATCTCATAAGGACAAAAAGTTTAATTAACCACCTGACCACACACAGGCAGAGCTGACAAAGTAACAGATATAAACAACAACAATAAAACACTGAAGTTCAGAGAAGTTATGCATTATGGCAACACCTCCCAGAAAATCTGTTCATTGCTCTTATTTCAGATTCAGTGACAGATAATTTTTTCCAACATTCAAAAAATTTCCCTTACATGTGCTTACTGCAGGCAAAAAGTACCTGCTCAGTGTGCCCAAAGTCACATTTATAAACATTAGCAGATCTTGAACCCTCTAAAATAAACCAGTTCTGTTTCATACCCAATAAACCCCTTATCTACAATTAACTCATACTCTCCCTGAGTACTATCTTCCTCATAACTTTTCAACCTTCAAAATAGAATGAGCTGCATAAGGCTGCTGGCTATTAACTGACTTTGAGGATGTTATTTTAATTTGGCAGCACCCACAACTTCTCAGTGGAGGAGAGTTCCTTACTCTCAACATCTTAATGCTACGCAGTTCCCCAATATACGTATACCAGAAAGTGTATCTCCTAAAAAACACTTACTCCCCTCAAGAGAAGTGCAAACCTCTCTCTCCTTGCAGAAGCACAGGAATACCTGAGTTTTTTTTCCCCTCCTAATTTCTGTCCTCCAGCCAAGTATTCAGAGCTATTCCCTTTTGTCTCTCCTGCTTTCAAAACAGCAAATGCTTCAGCAACTGTTGTCTTTCTCTTCCCACAGCATAATCCAGGAAGCCTAAACAACTTTTTTGCTTTCTTCTTTCAACATAGAGATTAGCCCTACTCTCCTCATTCCCACAGCAAAATTGCTGGAGAAAGTGGCAATAGGCATTCAACAGGCAGCTCCGAAACCTGGATATGGTCACCTACATACACACACATCACCAGGATGCAAGTAGGTTACAAGCAACATACATACATTGCAATGGCTGCTTTACAGGCAAGGAGGAGTCAAAACACTTGAAAACACTACTCAGGACTAAAGTAAAATGTTGCGTGTCCTTTATTTTTACCTGCAGTCATCAAAAGTTGATCCAGGAGATGAAAGTGCAAGTCGCTTGCGCAGCTCATCCCTCTCTCGAGTTACCTGACGGAGCTGATATAGTATCGTCTCCAGCTTCTCACTCATCTGTCTCGTGTCTATTACAGGTGGTGGAGATGATGCTTTACCAGTCGTACCTGACCAAGAGATAAAAAATTGGCAGTCAGGGAATTCCTCAAAAGAAAATACAACTTCACTAAAGAAGTTAACACTAATTTAAAAAATCCTCTATATTTGGTTGCAGAATCCTGTTCAAAAATGAAACAAGTCACAGAAGTTTTCATCAGTAAGTTGACAAGAACAACCCCAGTCAGATCCCACGCTAGCAGAAAGGCCCTGTCTGTGCTGCAAGTTAAGTTTGCGTGACTAGGTTCCTTGCTTAGTCATGAACTTACAAGTTGCCTAAAAGGCAAGGCAAGTTTGCAGTCACAATTGCAAACACCTCAGAAACTACCATAGTGACAGGGGGTCTTTTCCTTTATCTAGCAGCACAGACATACTATTCTGCTTTGTGCTACTGCCAACATTTATTTTTAATGCAATTCTATGTTTTCACATGTTGCAATTTATCAGTCCAGTACATGAAGTTAAAGATTTGACTTGCCAACAAATCAAGAGGAACAGGCTTTATTGTTAACAATGTTGGCTAAAACGAGCACATTACAATCACTGCAACTGGACGACACATCAAGTTTCCTCTAAGGGGCAGTCATACATTAAAGAGGCTTGTAGGATCTTTTAAGTCTCAGCTTTCTTAATATCAGAGATGAACAACAATGCCTACTGTCTTCTCAGACAGCTATACCAATACAAAGAGGTCTTCTTCCACCTCAGAGATGAGAGTCTGGTATATTGTTTCACAACATGCTGACAATTAATTCAACTGTAATTTTAGTTCTGCTCATTTTATCCCAGACGCATGAGAGCAAACTCAAAGATATAGATCACAGATGTGAAAGTTAAAGGCCTAAATGTATACAGGAGATTATTATTTTCTACCCAAAAGAGACATTCTAGAAATAGTTTGCATAATTATACAATTGAAACAAGTTGCTGACATATATATTATAACTTGTTAGGATGTAACTTTATTACACCTTTTTTAAAATTTAAGAAACAAAAGATACGATAGTAAAATAATGCGCTCTGATCACCGTCTTTTCAAAGAAAGAATTTCAAAGTTATTTCATCTGATCAAATGCTAATGAGTTGCAAGGACTGGCTTATTATCTCTAAACCCAGTTCAGGAAGGTACCGCAGAATGCAAAAATTCCCTCCAACTTTTAAGTAGAACTACCTGTGCTTTAAAGTTCCCACACCAAAATAACTGCAGGGTCAGGACGATCATACATACAGCATCTAGAATAATAAGATCCCTGTTATTATTCCTTTCAGCTGTTACTGCAATTCTGTAATGAGAATTTATGAGCACAGACCGTTCTTTTAATTTAACTATTGCATAATAATGTATGTAAACGCTCTAATAGAGAACTGAAGAAATAAAAAAAATGCAGGAATAGCCTGCATTCTGTAGAAAGACACAAACTCACATCACTCAAAAGAATTCTTAATGGAGGCTGCATTTGGGCTTTCTCCTACTACTTTGTTTCACTCCCCCATCCAGATGGAGCCCCTTCATCCATAAGCACTACAGATCTCACACTTTTAAACGGCAGTTATCCTTTCTTTTTCTAAAATAAGAACCATTTCACAGAATTTTTAAGGCAAGATTATACAAAACCCAGTAATAATACAAATGCACTGTCTTAAGCTCATGGTATGGGGAATAAATAGGGAAAAACCCAAATGGACAGATTAAAAAAGTCAGGATATGTATTCATTTGGAACAGTTTGAACACATCAATGAGCAGGGAGTTTCATAAACGGGTGAAAATGTAAAGGCAGACAAACCTAATTCAAGTACTGACAGACTGCATGGTCTTGGGTAAATTCAGTGGCAACCCGCACATCTTCTCATTTGAGCTGACACATCAGAATATGCATAACACTAAAAAAGTCCCTTTCTCATCCTTACAGAGAAGTTCAAAAGCTTATCTCTCATCCTGGGGCTGCTTGCGAGCAAAACAGATGAACAGGATGCAAGGGGCACAAGAGGAAGGAGGAGATAAATCAGGAAGGCTGGTGTGCTTTACACAGAGGAAAGGGCATTGGATTAACAACAGTCCATCACTAATATCAGTGTTAACCCTAGCAGCAGTCCCATGGACAATGTCCACTACACAAGTCCTGCGAAAGCATGCAACAGCTGCTCTAGGAATCTAAAACATAGTAAAAGGAGGCAAGAGTTATACCTCTGTTCCGCCATCTCTTGCTTCCTCCCCCCCCCGCCCCAGCTTTGACAGCATCCCCAGTGACAATCTTCTTCAAGAAAGGAGAGCATTTGTGCACACAGTCCCAAAACAGTGCCAAGCAAGACAAGACTGCTTTAAATAAAGACAGGCTAATTAATTAGCCTTAGGAAAGAAGCTTTCTTGACTAAGATGAAGCCATTCATCTTAGTACTAGAAAAGGTTATTTTTCATTAGCTTATCACTATTTACAAGTACATCAACAAATACTTTCATCTCAAATGCAATGACATTGTTGTCAACACATAATACCAGCCAAGAGATGTATGCCTTTTAAGTACTGTAAAAACACAGATCAATACGATCCAAATATTCCCCCCTTATCCTTAAAAGAAGTCCAAAAAGTTTATCTTTGCTTAATTTACTAACAAATTTACATTTTCAATAGTTGTACAAAAGGTCTCACAAATCTTAAATCAGATTTGTGGATGCTCACAAAAAAAAGAACCAAAACCCAAAAACAAAACAAAAAAAAACCCCAAACCAAAAAACTTCAGTAAACTACTTTTTCCATCAGAAAAATTCACTACTCTTCATTTCCTTTAAAGCAGCTTTTATAGCTGAATGCTAAAAGCCTTTTATTGCATCTGACATCCTGATGTAGCAGAAGGAAAGTGACCTGTGCTTCCAGCTTTGTATTCTTTTTCTATCTGACTGCATATATTACACAACAGTACTTCCCTTCCATGCTTTAACCAGTCAAACTGGTCTTAAAATGTACAAGCCTAAAGGCTAGGACTCCATTAACCAAATTATGCCACCTTGCAGTAACTCACCTGCTTTCTCAGACAACCTGGATTTGTGAAAAATGTATGTACTGTGTGTCCTGCCAAGTGCAACTCATTCATCTGCTTCGGAAAGCCTCACGACTCATTTTTCATGTGAGCTGCCAGTGGGCTCTGAGAACCCAACCGTACGGAAGTCGCCTCCCTGGCCAGCCTCCAGGTAAGCAGCACTCCACCAACTCCTGACACAGGCGACAGCAGTGACGCATTGTGTGGGCAAAATGCATTTTGCCCGTAATGCAGTACATGCATTAAGTCCTGAGTATGCATTGACTTCATCTAAAGCAAGATTTTGCAGGATTTCCACCATATGTTGTATAAAAGAAAAACCTGAAAAACAGAAGCTGGAGCAATCATATCTTCCATAATTGTAGTCCAAATGCTGGACTTCGCAGAAACCACAAAGATCCATTATTGTAGTACATACCAAACACAATTCTTGATGATTACTCTAATAGTCAATGATTGAAGGGATAATACAGCCACACAGAAACCACTGCTCAGTTAGCTTCATATTTGGGGACAGGGTAGCACAGTTTTTGAAGAAAAAAAAAAAGGGAAAAAAATTAAGAGAAACAGGGCTGGGAAACTTGTTCACCTGACCATGATGTACCTTAATGCCAAATCAATATAATGTTGAGGTGGGAAAATGGGTACCAATGCATAAACACCTACTTTTAAGAAATACCATGAACATATTTTGAATTTTAATAAACTCATTACTCTTTGAGAAATACACTTGGATGACAGGTTCAACTAATGCAAAAGGCAATCTGTCACAAGCTAACAGAATGCCTGAATTTTACAATAATTTTTTAAACTCATCTTATAAATGTGTGCCAATTCTAGCTTGCAAACAAACAGAAGACCATCCATTGTACAGTCAAGCATTTTTCATGCTTTCTTTCATAAAAAACAAAACCAGGGATGTTCAGAGTATTATTTCTTGATGGCCTTGTAAATCATGACAGAAAACATTAAAGAAGACTTGTAAGATGTATTGCAAAGCATGATCAACAGGGTTTCTCCCCAAGCTTGGGAAGGGGCGGGGAGTAAAGACATGCCTGCTGTAGGAAAATGCATGCTAAAATATTTACTTTCTTTCAATAATTTATGAGGACTAGAACAGGATTACATATCAGAAGTTACCATTTAGATACATTTCTTCAGATATATCTTCTGAAGTAGTCTTGAAATAGCGGAGAGCACAGAACAGAACTGCACGCAGGTAAAACAAAAAATCAGTAAAAACAAGCAGCAGTACATTGAGGAAAGGAAACGGAAAGGTAAAATAATGAACTGTGGAAACAGTTTCATCTGACAAACAGAATACCTAATAGGTTATGAAAGCAATGAGGATCATGTAACATGCAAGGACAAAAGAATGAGTAGCACTTCAGTTTTTGTTTTAGTGCAGAATACAACAAGCTGAACAAACCCACCAGCATGTAAAACAAACTTTCAACTTCAGTAAGTTTAAGACTTCAGAAAGAACTGAACACTGGTTCTAGAAAGATCAACATGAAAGAAAACCTACAACCTAATACTCAAAACCAGCAAGTAGAAAAAAGGGCAGATATGTCAATTCAAAAAGTCCTTGCAGAACTTTGCCGAGCTAAAATACAACAGAGAGTAAAATCTGTTACCATGACCAAGGAAAATACAGCTGAAGCTTCTGCGTTTAGGGAGCGCCCTGGTGGGAAGGCTCAAACCCTACATTTGTCAGGCTTACAACCACACAATGAAAGCATAACCTAGACAAAAGTGTCCAACCCGAACCCAAGGGGGACAATAACGAGGGTCAATCGCTCCACGCCAACCAAGAGGATAAGACTCCACCAGCGCTTGCTCCTTCGCATCTTCTCCTACAGACGAGTTGAGAGCATTGTCTCACCATACTGTTTTATAGCCCCCAAAGAAAACTGCTGACACCAAAATGATTTCCTGAATGCACAGACTGATAAAGAGCATCAGGGAGTAGTG